GCCAGAAGAGCCCACTTTGAAGAACCTTCAAAGCGGTCTTTTTTCCACTGAAATGCCCACCACAAGCAAGTGTGTGACAAAACACAAGGATGCTCGGAACTTCACTTTCTGGCACATATCTCCTTATTACACCCCCAAACTTTGATATTACTAGTCCCTAGTAATGAACTACAGTATGAAAATGAAACAAACATATATATAACTATGAACTAATAAAGCAAATAAAGATAACACCACTTTCATAGGGATCACGGTTGCATTTAGCATATGCAACAAGCCTTTTAAACCCCTAGGTTACTCATAGTGGACGAGTGAAGTCTCGTGAGGGTTTCCAGAAATGATACCTACAAACATCAACAGCTCTTTTTACTTGGGAATCAATGACACATATCAAACAAATGTTGAAAGTAGACTACTTCAAGTATGCAAATTTCTGCCATTTCTAAACTATTCTCAACATTTCAACATCATGTAAGCAAAAATGGTCATCCACACATCAAGCAAGTTAATCATGCAAATTGAATCAATTCTATCATCCTTTTTTAGTGAATCGGCATCAAAATGTGTTGCTATCCTAACAAATCAAAGTAATGGCATAGCCTTACCCTCAAACTAGCATACAAATATAATACCAATCATCAAGACATTGAATGAACCTTGTTATTCAATCAAACATTTTTTTTTTTTTTATTGATTTCATTTTTTTTTTTTTTTTAATATGCATGACCATGTGCAATGTCCAAGTTCCTTAAGCTCTCTAACCACCTCATATAACAAGCGTTGAGCCAACGACTCCCAAACCAGATGGTCTTAAGGCGTTAAGTATAAAGACACTCCTAAGGGCGTAATGACTCAGAATGGCTAGGTTACAAACTCAAACTAATCATACATCTTACATTCTTTTATTGTTTTCCTTTTTAATCAGTTGACATGTTGAAAGAATACAGTTTTTTTTTTTTTTTTTGGTGAGTGCTTTTATTTCTCTTCTTTGCAAGGTCATTTTATTAAGAATGAAAGCTTTCAAAGCATACTAGCTCAATTGGGATAAATCAAGACAATAATCAACTAAGCATGTACCCTACAAATTGAATGCTAATGTGCGCAAGTGCAAGTGTAGAATTCTAGAATCAACTCTCAAAGCATTTTCAACCAACAAGATGATGCGTACCACAAGAGCAAACATAATATCAAAAATTAAAAATTTACTCCTAAATGACATCCTAGAGCATACAAGAAGTATTAGACTCTAACAACTTGTTTTTCAAAGGCACTATGCTTTGGAAGTTCGAAATTATTGCTAAACACATCTCAAATCTCATCATGCATTTAAAGCTCAACTTAAAATAAAATGAATCATAATGATCGACCTTACCCCCCAACTTAAACTGTACATTGTCCTCAATATGCAATGAGAATAATGAAAAATGATGAAAAGAGTATACCGTGATGGCAAAGACCTTAGCTTAGGTGCTGAAATGTGTAACATTTAAGTACTTATCAATTAAAAATTATTTTTCTCAAATACCACAATCATTTTTTTTTATTTTAAACCCCTCTTCTTTTCTTGCTTCCTTCCTTTCTAAATTATTTCTCTATTTGTATTAATCTCCCTTCTCTATCTCATTGGGGTTTGATATTGATCTTTATAAATAATAATGAAATATTTCACAAATGAAGAAACAACAAAGTTTAATGATGTAGTTTATCTTGTTAGCATAAAATTATCGAATAACTATTAAAACTTCAAGAACCATTAAACTCCTTTAATGATGATAATAGTGATGGGAATGGTAATTTGTTTTTTTAAAATTTTCTTTTTAATTTTATGCTTTGACTTTAATTTGATTTTTTTTTCGTATGTGTTTTTTTAAGAATTAATTTAAAATTTATTTGAATATTTAAGTTTACCTAGTAGTTGATAAATAAAGTTTTAACTCTTTTGACAATAAAATTAAAAAACTATGGATTTTGTGAAAAGAATAAAAAAAAAAAAAAAATAGTAAAGAAAGTATATAAGATATGAGTTTTAAACTTTTTCTTCTTATCTTATATATTTTATTTACTATTAATTCTAGAAAAAAAAAAATATAGTTGATAAATAAAGATCTAATTCTTTTGACAATAAAATTAAAAAACTATGAATTTTATGAAAAGAATAAAGAATAATAATTATAACGAAAGTAAATAAGACAAGAAGAAAACGTTTGTAGAGAAAATGATAAATGTAGTATTATAAAATGAGAAAGACGCATCAATGAGTTTAAGGACTTTCTTATCATTTCTTTTAAATAAAAATAAATAAATGGAGTACAATTATACAAAAGTATGTAGAGTGCGAATATCGCCTCCCTATCTAAATTTTGAATGAGTTTTAACGACAACTCTAAATTATACATTTATTTTAACTTAAAAAAAAAAAAACTTAGGGTGTAACAGTAGAAAAGGGGAGTACAAATATGATCTACCTTTTCGAATTATTTGGAATTGATTATTGTACTTCTTATTCATAAAGATTATTGGAGATTAAAAAATAAGTATAATATAGGCATTTTATTAAATAAGTGAAAATAATAAAATTGAGTTTCTTTTCATATAAAAAAATAAGACACGAAAAACAAGTAATCCACTTGTTAATTTTCTTTCCCTTTAAATATCTTGTTTTGGAAGTAAGCAAAAGTACAAAATTTAATATAGAAAAAGATTATCAGAAAAATCTATCTGATCTAGACCACCCTTAATTTTGTTTGCTAGAGAGAGCTTTCACAGGCATTTTTGGACCCCCACCTGTCAAACCCACCTTTCTTCATTTTTGTTTGATTAAATATTAAGAATAGTCAAAACAATTAATTGGGGTGATATTTTTATGTTTTATTTTATTTTTGGTTAGAAGGGAGAGAATGAATTTTTTAATAATTTATTCTCATTATATATATATATATATATATATATATATATATATAAATAATTGTTTTTCTGTGAAGAATATGATTAAATATTTACATTTTCGAAAATATCGATTCAATATTATTATTTAAATAAGAAGGGGTTAAATATTAGAAATAGAGTTACAAAATGTTGAACGGAGAGGACTATGCCCCAGCCGGCGAAATAGTCGAATTTTCTTGTAAAATCACCATCTAATTGAGTCATCACTTTCCCAGTTGCCACAAGAAATTGACTTCCATCCACCACGTCATATTTCCTTGTCATGGCACATCAAGAGCGATCAACATCGATCTCTCGGAACTAACTCAAACCACAATCAAAAATAAACGTGTCATATGGCTTGTAGCATGGTTGATGATTGCGATATAAATTATAATTATAGTTTAACACATTCGGACAAAATTAATAAATTGGTTGAGACGGGTTATATATCAAATTTTTAAAAAAATCTTATATCAACCAATATGTTATCTATCAGACGATGTGGCGAAGTATGATATATATATAATATAATATGGTGAAGTTCATAAAAAAAATTCAAGAACAATCTGTCCCATTAAATTATTAATTTGTTACAATTAAGAACAAATTGATCATAAAAGACTATTTTACTCCTTCTTATTAAATTTGTTATTTTCTATTAAATTATTTTTATTATCTTTTTTCTTATTTAAATATTAATTATACCATTTATCTTAATTTTTTTTATTTTATAAAATGATTAGCTTATTTTAAAAATTTTCTATTTATAATAAAAGTTCTTTTACTCACTTTTAACTTTTTTACTGTAAAAATACATTTTTTTCATACAATATATTCATGAAAAATGAATAAATTACTTAAGTAAAAAATATCTTTTTTTTTATGCAATATATTCTTGAAAAATTAAGAAAATACTTAAATTGTTTAATAAAAATCTACTTAAGATCTTTATTTAAAAATTAATTTAAAAAATTAAAAATAAATTTATGCAAATTTAATGGAGAAGTCATCGTCAAATTAGTTTGAATATTTTGTTCATAATTAAGAAAAATAGATTAGATATTAGGGCATTTTATAATTAAATTTAAATAATTTAGAGAATATTATGAACAAAATATATTTGAAGAGATTGTAAATTTTAACATAGTTCAGGATTTTTTTATTTTTATTTTTGCACAGTACCCATATAATATGATGTCTAATTGCTACCGTCATTATCCACTTGTTTCCACTAGGGAGCAGTTGAATGCCTTTTTTTTTTTTTTTGGTACTTGAGAAGAAATCGTTTTACCACTTTAAGGGAGATTCGTTTTTCAATCGTATTGGGAGGGAAAATTACCTATAAATATTTTATTATTAACGTGTTACCATATTTGTAGTTTATTTGACTTTTTTGTAAATTTTTATTAACGGAGTCTTTCTATACTCACATAATGGTTATTTAATATGTGATTTTGTTTCAAATTCAATAGGTGGGCTGTATCGATCAGTTTACACTGATATAAATAATTCATTAACTTTAATTTTGGGCTATGTCACTTTATGATCGGAAACTGTCGTTTAGGGTGCAAGCCGAGGTTCTTACTAGATTCAACGCATGCTTCATCAAAATTGAACGCAGTTTCTTTGGCAAGAAGATGGCATTGTTGGAAAATTTTACTAAAGTCTTTGATGAAACTGCGATAGAGAATTATGATTCGCAATAACAATTACTATTGCGGTATAATAGATTCGGATAAAATCAGTTAAACTAATAGATATGGATCACGCGCTCTCTCCCCATCATTGAAATCATTTATAAGTTTGTTTCTTTTGTGATAACAAATTTACAAGTTAGGTTCTTTTGTGATAACAAATTTTTATTTTTTGAGAATTAAAAATTAAAAAGAATGTTTAAAGAAATTGTTTGAATGACGTTTGAGGGTCACCCAACAATCGAATCACTAGGATATTCCTTGTGAATCACTTTCATTTCCTCGCTAGACTATCTGCATTCCGGCATCACTATTAAATGTTGAACCAAACAGATACCTGTTTTTTTCATTCCAGTTTCCCTCTCTTTCCTCTTTTCTGTTCTTTTTCTTCCAACAAGGCAACAAGTCCCCCCTCTTTCTCCGTCGCGTGCTAATCCAAACACAGTGCCCACAGTATTACGCATTTTACATTTTCAATTTTTTTAAAATAAAAAAGTGTTATTAAAAGCAGAACCAAACAGCCCCTAACAATTCCGTCAACCAAACTGATAAAACTCAATCCGTTTCCTTTGAAACAAACAGATTCTCAATTCATTTTTCTTGCCCCTTCGTTTCCATTCCTTATCTATTTCCTCGCGACTGAGTCTCTATCTTTCTCCGTTACATGCTTATCCAAATGTCTCCACAGTGTAGGACACTCCACGACTACTTTAAAACTGTTACTCTCAATTCGTTAGCTTCAATACACTCTCTCTCTGTATAGACGCCAGAATCCAAATTCTTGTTAAACCTTCTCCATCTCTCTCTCCAAATTCTTACTCTCTCTCTCTCTAGGGCATTCCGATGGATCCAAACCCTAAAACCTTTCCAATTCTCTCCTACGTCTTGTCCAAACTCCCCAGTATCGGACCCAAACACTCCGCCAATGAATTTGACGTCGAACGGCCACCACCACCGTCCGATGCTTCCACTTCGACTTCACCGTCATTCGAACTGACGGCGCAGATGCCCTACCTCTCCGACCCCAAAGTCATCGCCTCCATGCGATTCGCCGTCTCCGAAGTCGCCCAGACCCGATCCGTCCTCCAAACCCTAGGTGACCGACCCGACCACGAGACCGTCGACACTGCCAGGGCCAAGCTTGCTCAGATCGAGTCGAGTCTCTCCAAGCAGCTGGAAGGGATCGTGCTGTCGCCGCGTCCGGCGGAGGTTGACCGCCTCGGGTGGCGGTCGCACTTGGCGGACAAGGAGAAGGAGGTCCGGCAAGCGGCGGAGAGAGAGAAGCAGATGTACAAGGCGGTGATTCAGCTGGACGAAATGCACGACGCGTACGAGAAGCTGTTGAATAACGCCGAGGAGAAGTTGGTGAAGATTTATGAGTCGGCCGCGGCGGGCGTCAATGGGGTGGCAGAGGATAAGCCAGTGGCGGAGGAGATGAATGAGGAAGTGGTTGGGATTTTGCAGGAGGCGTCCGGGAAGGGGATAGAGAGGATTGATCTGTCCGGTAGGCGGTTGCGTATTCTTCCCGAGGCATTTGGACATATTCGACAATTGGTCATGCTCAATCTGTCGTCTAATCTGCTTGAGGTTAGCCTAATTATCTCTCTCTACTCTTGAATTTAGAAATGGAATCACTTCGAATTTTATTTATTTTTGATAAGTAAATCACTTCGAGAAGTTAGAAATGGAATAACTCATATATGACATTGAATTTGTATCATTGATTGAGTTTCCTCTAGTTGTCTGGTGGAGAGTGTTGTTTTCTAAACTACCTGTTTCATGCTGTCAAAACAAATTGTTTTCCTACTTATGTTTCTGTGCTTTCTTTCATTGTTAAAATTTCGTCAATGTTACTACCAGTAAGTGCTGGACTGCCCTGATATTTATTACCCTGTTAAATAAGTTGATTTCTTTAATCAGTGAAGGAAATCCTAATCGTCCTGGCTAATGTGGAATTGGGGTTTGATTGTTCAAGGGTTGTAGGCATATAAAATGCTGAGTGGGAGAAAGAGATAATAAACTTATTGCTGGATTATGCATTTGTCGGGGTGGAGTGAAAATTTAGGCATGTTAGACTTTCTTGTTGGACACACTTGTTAATTATAATTTTGCAAAGCAAATGTGCATTTTACTTTCTAGAGGGTATTAGACTTCCCGACCGTCCATTTTTGAGTTCAAGTACTAGTCTATGTTTTTGTGAAGAAGCTTGCATCTTGAGTAAGATGAATTTGTATTTACTCATTATGCAATGATTTGGGGTTTTAGATAACTGTAAGAGGCAGGTAATAAAAGAGAGAGTGAACATAGGACAGATTACAGGATTGCGTATGTAGGGTAGAATGCATAGTTTGGCTTCAATTCATGCTACAATACTCTTATCTAGAAAAGAGAACTTGCTTTACTGTCATCATACAAAGTGGAATTGTGCTGGATTAGAATAGTTTGATCATTTAATCATGCAGTCAAAGTCATAGTTCTTTGTATCAGCCTAGTCTTTGTGATTTGGCTGAGGCATTACGGACTTGACTGAGTTCGAGTCCCTTGGGACTCGGCTGAGTCTCTTCCGAGTTCATTTGGACTCAGTCGAGTCAGCACATCCGCTAGTATGCAGATAAATTATTATTTTTTTGATAAGTAGTATGCATGTCCGCTACACTGTTTCTGCATCAACCATGTATACAACATGACCTTAATGTCCCTTCAAATTCTAAATCTATAATTGGGTTTGACAAACCATGGCTGCATGTTTAATTGGTTTGAACACAGGGTCTCAATAGTGTGGAATTCTTCAATTCTAATTCGTATGTGACAAAAATAATGTTCATCGTTTTTTCCCTTATTTCTTTCCACACTTTTCTTCTTGTACTACCTGAATATGCTTTCTCTTGTTCTGTCACAGTTGGCCTTACTCCTATTCTCTCTCACATGTTTTTTTATTAATCCTCTCTTTCCTAATCAGCCCTATAATTCATTTCAACATTCTCATTTTAGCTGCATGAATGCATTTATTTCTTAAATTTTTTTAAGGTCCAGCACTCTGCTACAGATCAGATTGCTAGGCATCCTATAAAAAAATATTCTTTTAATTATTTAATTTGATTTGATTTGATTTGATTTTATATCATATTGAATGCAGCTAGATTGTCTCCATCCTGTTAGAAGAGTAGACAATTGTGGCGACAGAATTGCTTTCTAGGTACCAACGAAACTAATTGATGAGCAAATGGCATGAACGGGTAGATTAATTTATTTTTCATGGCAAGCAAAGAACCAATGGTGATCCTCATTCCCTTTTTTCTTTTCTTTCAAAAAATAACAAGAACACAAAACTTGCAAAAATAAACAAAGGATATAATTTGGTGGGGCTTTACAAAAGAACGACTTCCTTTAAAACTTAAAAAGATTATTCAGGTATATATAATGAGACAAAGACTAGAGTTCTTACCATATGTAGAGAAAGTAATGATTTTTCTACAAAAGTTATATGACACCAAGATCAGTGTGAAGCCCATCTATTTACAAAAGTATATTTGGAATATTTAGAATCAAATAAAAAATGATTGGGATATATCTTTAATTACCAAATTAAAAATGATAAGAGTGTACATATTTACCAATATTATACGTTGATTTTTTAAAATTTTATAATTAAAGATGATATGTTCATTTGTTATTGATCAACATCAGCAATGAGATTATTGTTGACCTAAGTATTGCCGGGTAAATATTGTCTTTAAATTAGTGACAAATTTGAAAAGAAACTTATGTCAAGTGTGTTACAGTTGACCATTTTAACACCATAATTTCAGCATTTGACTAATGGAGATATTTGCAACTTTTGGTAAATTGAAGGTATTTGTTGGAAAAAGAAAATACAATAAAATACTAGTAGAGGGGTATTTTGAAATTTTTTGATAATACAAGGGATTTATTGCAATTTGATTCTAAATATTCCAAATATACTTTTGTGAATAGATGGGCTTCACACTGATCTTGGTGTCATATAACTTTTGTAGAAAAATATTACTTTCTCTACATATGGTAAGAACTCTAGTCTCTGTCTCATTATATATATCCTGAATAATCTTTATAAGTTTTAAAGGAAGTCTTTCTTTTGTAAAGCCCCACCAAATTATATTCCTTGTTTATTTTTGCAAGTTTTGTGTTCTTGTTATTTTTTGAAAGAAAAGAAAAAAAGGGAATGAGGATCACCATTGGTTCTTTGCTTGCCATGAAAAATAAATTAATCTATCCAGCTAGAGAAGCTTCACATATACCACACCTTCTCTATCGTGTTCATGCCATTTGCTCATCAATTAGTTTCGTTGGTACTTAGAAGCAATTCGTCGCCACAATTGTCTACTCTTCTTGTGTTTCCAAAAAAGCAACTGATGTTCTTGTGTTTCAAATAATTAGTTTTGCAAATTGACAAGCTTTGGTTGCTGATCTTCTTTTGACTATACAAGAAGAAGAAGAAGAAGCCTTTTTCCCACCCACTTGGGGTCAGTTACATGAATCCTATGTTTCCATTCCACTCTATCTAAGGGCCGTAGCCTCAGTCAAACCACAAGCTAGCATATCCTTCTTTACTAACTCTAAACCACGTATAACTTTGGCCTTCCTCTTCCCCTACTATTACCCTCAATGTGGATTGTGTCATTGTTTCTAACTGGCGCATTTATATGTCTTCTTTACATGTCCAAACCATCTTTGCACATGTTCTTTTTGACCATCCATATGAAATATTGCAACATTCCCAGGTTGGGGTTATTGGGAAGGGATATGAAGGACTTAAATTTTGGATCATAAAATTTAAAAAATTACACTGACCTCCCCTCTAGTTAACTGAAAATATAAAGATCTTTCCCGTGTTCTTAAAAATTACAATGACCTTCCATGTCAAATCACATACTTAAACGATGTTGACCAAGGTTGTAGATTTACTACTTCACCCTCATCTTTAAATAATTTTACTATTTTACCCTTATAAACCTCCACTATCTTTATGCTGATTCTAAGGACGAAGTTGGTATTCTAAAATTTTCATTTGCGTCAACATAAGCAAAAATTGACGATGACCAGTGTTGACCATTAAATTGAAGGGACAATCTGTTACCTAATCATAACTCTCAAGAGACTTATCTGGAAAAAGAAAAAAAAATTCATAACCTCTCAAGAGAGGCCATTGTCATTTATGAAAAGGTGAAAACATAAGAGAGGTCGTTTAATTTTCACTTAACCAGAATTTAACATTTTATGAAGGAAAGCTTTTGAGTTTCTCATTGTGATTCAGTTAAGAAGTTGCTTGGTTTTAGCATTTTATGATAGCCCTGGTGTGTGTTTATTTAATGAGTATTAAAATTGTCTTCTTGTTAACTTTTTTTTTTTCCTCGCTATAAATTATCTTCAGTATGGCTCTAGCCCAATTATCTGTACTACTATAGTGATGTTGAGGTCGTTGTGTTAAGTTTTGAGTATACTTTCGTTGCCATACTTTTAGTGAAGCAAATAGGATCGATGTTCTGTCAAAAATGGTAAATTTTATTTAGCTGTTGTGAGTCTTGTGACCCTAGATCAATTTGATGTGTCCTTTGCATGTATAGCTGATTCTAGTGGAGGATGCAAAATGGTGTGCATATTATTTTCGTATTAATTTGTTTCTAGTGGACTTATGAGCTCAAAAATTATGTAGAAAAAGGTACTGTAACCCTACCTCATGGCTTTGCTGTCTGAAACTTTTTGTTTTCCTTGTGGATGTTGTGCAAATGCATAGATCTGTTGATGAATTGCTTAAATTAGAAGAAATATGAAATGTTGATTTTATTGGCTTTTTTATGATTCGGCTAAGTATTAGTTGATGGGCTTCTTTTTGTTTGTTTGTTTGTTTTTTTTTACTTTGTTCCTGATATGTCGATACTCCGTGTGAGTGAAACAGGTAGTTCCTGATTCAATTGCGGGACTGGAAAACCTTGAGGAGCTTAATCTTGCATCAAACCTTTTGGAGTCATTGCCAGATTCCATCGGGGTGTTGCTTAATTTAAAGATCCTAGATGTATCTGGAAACAAGCTAACTGTCTTGCCTGACAGTATTTGTTATTGCAGGTAGACCTTATTAATTGCAAAACCAACTCTATTAATTCTTTTCTCCTTCATATGTTTATTGAGTTTATTTGAATCTTGATTATTCCAGGTCATTGGTGGAACTGGATGCGAGCTTCAATAGACTGACATATTTGCCAACAAACATTGGTTATGAACTGGGGAATCTGAGAAGGCTTTCAATCCATCTGAACAAGATCCGTTCTCTTCCCACTTCTATTGGTGGAATGAGGTCTTTGCGCCTTCTGGATGTGCACTTCAACGAGCTCCATGGCCTTCCACTTGCGATTGGAAGATTGACAAATCTTGAGGTCCTGAATCTGAGCAGTAATTTCAGCGACCTAACTGAACTTCCAGATACAATTGGTAACTTAACCAACCTCAAAGAACTTGATCTCAGCAACAACCAGATCCATGCTCTTCCAGATACATTTGGTCGGCTTGACAATCTGAACAAGCTTAACTTGGAGCAGAATCCTCTTGTAATTCCTCCAAACGAAGTTGTGACTGAAGGGGTTGAAGCTGTCAAGGTTTTTATGGCTAAGAGGTGGCTTGACATATTGTTAGAGGAAGAACAGAAGAGCATGCTTGAAGTAAGTGAGCAGCAGATGCAGACCAATTACTTAACTCGAAGCACCTCATGGTTGAAGACTTTTGTTTCAGGTGTTTCTGGGTATTTAGGAACTGTTGGAAAATCGTCTGTAGACCCTTATCTTAATCAGCAGCTATGATTTCATTTTCTGCTGATTGATTTTTCTGAGAATCCACTTCCTTTCGATGGCATGCACAGCTGATGAAGATTGAAGAATTCTGGAAAATGTTCATAAGTTTTAAAAGGAAAATAAACAGCCAAAGGATCATGCAGTGTTGTTTTCTTTTGATACCCTTGTAGTGTAAGCAGGATGCTTATAGTTTGTACATTTTATAACAAGAATTTTTCCAAATTTTGGAATCAGACCTTTTTACGGTCTCTCCTTTTGATCTCATGTGGTTTGGTGGCGGTTGCTGTTACTACTTTTTTATTGTTACTATTGTTATTTTTCCTTTCTGACCGGTATCAATGTTCAAAATAAAGCCTGAATGGGAGGTTTCTCGAATACGTGTATCAGGTCCTGTGCGACTTTGATTCGTGTACATACTGGTCCAGCTTTGTGTTTACCTTCATTAGGTTGATCTGGTTCATCGATGTTCGATGCTACTACCCGGTTTGGGATGTTGAAATGGTATGTGCAGTTCTGTAAGCATATAATGAAAGTCATTCCTTATCATGCACATTGGGTTCTGCCCATAGTTTCCAGGCTAGCTGTGATGACGGTGAATATGAATTTTGTACCTCAAGTAGGCCATAGTTTTTTCATCAATTGGAAACTAGTGAAATGATACATTTTCTCTGTTTTAGTATTGAGATTTATATCGGTTCAAGGCAGCCAAACTATATATATATATATATATATATTTTTTTTTTTTTTATTTTTTTGTTGATGGTGGTGTTGGTCCTGTTGGACCTTTTAGAGGCTGGAAATCCTTTGGTTCAAAATGGTTGGCGATGAAGTGAGAGTCACCTTGGTTAATACCAGATTACTTTTCTTTATTTTTTCAATTTTTTATTCTCATCCAAATAATTCAATCCTGGGGTTTGAATTAGAAATGTTGAGTACCAAAAATACTCATTCAATCGTTGACAATTAATGTGAATGCTTACTGCGTTTTATGCATGGCTGCAATTTTTTTTCTAGAGAATTATGATTGTCGAAAAGATATTGGTTGGTGCCATTCACATTAATACATTATATTAGTGAGAAAATCATTTTTAATTTGTCATATCATTAAGAGATTGACTAAATATGTAGTAGGTGAAAAATAAGGCATTAGTTGGTGCCTTTCACGTTTATACATTATATATACATAACCTTGAATGAGATTTATGTGATTGTTTAAAACCTTGAATACACAAATTAGAATGATGAAAACAATACTCATAAAGAAATTAACTAAAGATCAAACTCAATCCAAATTATGCAATGCATAACATTTGAACTAACATTAACAGTCCTAATGTGAAGTAAAATCATGGTTATCAATGACAATTTCTGGGTAATGTGTTCATTTTCTAAACACATGTTATTATTGTATACTGCAAGCATTGAGAAGCAAAAGAGATTTTCAAAACTCGTGCTCATAGCACTTATGCTATGAATTGCTTTTACATTTTGTTTTTTAATATTCTAATCATATTTACATTTTTTTAAAGCATGCCTGACTCTCCTTTACGGCACACAATGCCACTCTCATATTGCACTACACATGTTATTCTTGTATAATGCAATGGTCCATTTGTGGCGTGTAGATGATGACTATAAAAACTCATTGAAGATGTAAACTGACTCACTGAGGATTTAAGTATACAATATTCCGGGATACTTAAACGTATCACTCCGGGATAATGAATAGTCATAGAAATTCTCAATTTGCATTGATAATATAAAAATAGAAAATTTTCAAGAAAAAGCATGACTGTGCATTGACTGAGAATACCACTTAATAAATATCCAGATATTGTATACTTTCTCATCAATGAGAGTATGTTTTTTTTTGGATGGGTCAAGTATCCATGTGCTCCCGTATATGCATTGTGAGCATGACACACATGCATAACTGTGTGCTTAACTATGTCATGTTTAATACTTTTGGTCAAGTTTTCACTATTTTATTGGACTAGTAACCAACTTTGTTGCTTAATGTGGATATCATGGCAGTTGTATAATTATGCATACAAACAAGTGGAGGTATATATAAATAGAAAAATATGCACACATATAGAGAGAGAGATATATAAAAGTTTATGTAACAACAAATGGCATGCATGCATTTTGCATGTCTATATATATATATATATGAATACCACGCAATTGTTTACATTGTTCTATCACACCATTCTCGCATAAAGAGAGTCCTTTTTCCCCATTTTCGTTTGAATTCAGGGAGATGATCCAAGAAGACTCCAAAACTCTTCTTGGATCTCCTCTGATTCCAAGCCCTGAAAAGGGTATTGAGTTTGATTTGCCAGAGAAGATTGCTGAGCTGAAAGAGCAATTGCAGTTGGCTGGTCCTCTGATTGTAGTTGGTTTCTTGCAGTACAGTTTACAGATGATTTCTGTTATGTTCGTAGGCCGTCTCGGAGAGCTCTCTCTTTCAAGTGCTGCCATGGCTACTTCGTTTGCCGGAGTCACAGGTTTCAGCCTCATGGTAAGTCTTGTTCTTTCATTGTTTGCTGTCTCACTCTCATTTGTACTTACATAATGTTGATGTTGTGACCTGAATTTTATTTCGGATCCGGTGACAACTTGATCCAATGTCATTTTTTTTTTTTTTATATCCATTTTTGTCTCGCTGGTTGTGGATTAATGTTATAAGGGTTTATTTGTTTCACATCGGATCCGGATGGGAAAATGATTAGGTATAAATGGGTGAGTATACAACATTATCCAATAATTTGAACTTTGGGTAAATGGGCAAACGCCCACCCGTTAGAATTGACCTGAATTCTAGTCTCTGGTTAGATACAAGAGTTTGCAGTGTGAGTGAGAGAACAATGAAAGTCGAATGAGGGAGAAGGGTTAATGAAAGATTTGTAAGTCAAGTATATTTTCTCACACACTAAATCACTGGTACAACCATGAACAATAATAATATACAAAATAAATACAAAATCATAACAGATGATAAGGAGATTGAGCAGAGTAGAAGAATTGTGAAGAAAATAGTGGTGCCAGCTATTAGAGATTATCTTTATCATGTTGAAAATAAACTTGATTTTAGTATTTAGTATTTTCAAGTACTTTTGTATCCATGATGCATGTGTTAATTTAGCATGTTAGTGGGTAGTAAATTGTCTTAGTGGGAGTTAAGGTTATGTAAAATAAAGAGTCATGAGAGTTAAGCCTAACAAATACTATGTTAGTGGGAGTTTTGCCTACTAAATGGTCATGTTAGTGGGTTAGTGGGAGTTTTGCCTACTAAATGATATGTTAGTGGGGTTTTAAGTTTCATTTACATTTATGTTTTGAAGTCTATATAAACCCATGCATTGTACTCATTTTCTATCAAGTGAAATAAAAAGTATTTTCCTCCATTTCTATTCTCTTCCAAATAGTATAGTGTTGTGTGTGTAACTAGGCCACTATTTCCAACAAAGTGGTATCAGAGCCTAGACGATCCTGAAGGCCAGACGAAGTTGATCTTAGAAGGTTCAACATTTGAGAAAAACATGTTTCTCCTTGATGATGATGAAGGGGAGAAAATGTATTTTCTTAGTGAAAAGATGATGTTATCTAATTACAAGAGAATGAGAATCATCATGACTTCATACCTCAAAGCATGCGATTTGTGGGATGTTGTTGGAGAAGAGCCAAAGAATGGCATGTCCAACAAGCTTCATGAAAAGAAAGAAGATAAGGCATTGGTAGTGTTGCAAAAGGCAATACATCAAGAAATTTGGGAGTATTTTGGAGAGTCCAAAACTCCAAGTTGTATTTGGAAGATGCTCGAGACCATCGTTTCCAATCATAGGGGTGAATCACTACCCATGGAGTATTGGGTACAATGCTTTGAGAATGATGAGTTTACGAAAGATGATTATGAAAGTCTTGAAGACAAAGTTGTGGAGAATGAAGAGGTGTATCATGCAAAAGAAGTTGAAGATTTTGGAGATTCAAAAGTTGAAGGAGAATTTGAAATGGTGAATAAGGAAGAGGTAAGAAAAGGTGTTAAAGAAGAGATTGAAAAAGTGAAGGAGGATGAAGTGAAAATAGAAGATTTAGAAGAAGGAAGTGCTAAAGAAGAGATAAAAGTTCAAGTTGGTGAATTAACATCTTCAGGTATGGTTACAAATTCCACCTTGAAAGAAGTTATATTTGACTTATTTGATGAAATTATTATTTCTTCATATTCATCAAATAATGCTTATTTTGTGGAGAATGATGAACTTCTCTTAAAGAAAGTTGTTCCAAAGAAGTATGAGATTGAAGCCCAGGATGATAAGAAATTCTTATATTATTTTTTAAAAAATAGTTTGGAGAATTTTGTAATTGATACAGGTTGGGTGAATATGGAATTATTTTTTGACTCTAAAGAAGAAGTATATGTGAAGTTGAAGATTCATAAAAAATTTAAGAAGAAAAAAGATCGATGGTGTGCTTGTATAAAGAGGATGATATATGATTATGTGAAGACATCAAACAAGCATTTGAAGAAGTTTCACAAACCCTACACATCAATGGAAATGGCCAAGAAGATTGAAGCTATTGAAGGAGGTGGAATTGAAGATCAACTATCGAACTTTTGATCAAGCCCCCAAAATTAATAAGAAGGTTTTTCAAGTTACAAAATCAAGTTTAAAGGGGGGTGTTGAAAATAAACTTGATTTTAGTATTTAGTATTTTCAAGTACTTTTGTATCCATGATGCATGTGTTAATTTAGCATGTTAGTGGGTAGTAAATTGTCTTAGTGGGAGTTAAGGTTATGTAAAATAAAGAGTCACGAGAGTTAAGCCTAACAAATACTATGTTAGTGGGAGTTTTGCCTACTAAATGGTCATGTTAGTGGGTTAGTGGGAGTTTTGCCTACTAAATGATATGTTAGTGGGGTTTTAAGTTTCATTTACATTTATGTTTTGAAGCCTATATAAACCCATGCATTGTACTCATTTTCTATCAAGTGAAATAAAAAGTATTTTCCTCCATTTCTATTCTCTTCCAAATAGTATAGTGTTGTGTGTGTAACTAGGCCACTATTTCCAACATATCATTCCTCACAAGCTGATGGGACAAGCATGGAAAACAAACTAGAGAAAGTACTTTAGTTAAATAATTGTAGTGAAGTACTAAAAATCAAGTTTTTTGTTGACCACTTTCTCTCTTACACAGGGATAATCAACACTTTTTTATCATACACAATGATCATAATCAACTTTGAGATGTTTTGTTCGGGCAAACTAGACAGGATTTGAGGCCAATGAGATAGAACTAATATTATCACACCGTACATAGAACCTGTCATGTCATGTTAACCATCATCTACTCTTAAAAGCTTCAACTGTTAAAGAAGCTGTAAATTTTAATATTTAAATCTTCTAATAGTTAAGGGCTTTAGAGCTTGTAATCTCTGTTTGCTCTCCGCATAGTGAAAATTTTTAACCGATTTTCACCGTGATTGTTGGCAGTTTATACCATTTAAATATTAGAGGATTTAATATTTAAATCCTCTAATAGTTCTTGAGAACTTGTAATCTCTGTTTGGTTTTCGCATAGTGAAATTTCTTTGCCAAAATTGTATTTTTGTGATGCATGATTTTATGTTTTTTACATCGTTTCTCGATTGTATCTGTGGTTTTCTGGTGTTTATCGCCTCATGACCATATCTTTGGTCCCTATATATCAATACATGGACATTCATTGTACATATGCATCAGAACTGGCTTGATACAAGTAGAGGCATAAGAAAAGAATCCCAAGACATATTTTTTATTTTTCATCTTAATACAAAAATGATTTATTCTTTAATTTACTTTGTATGTTTCTCCATTTTATTCTTATCTTCTCATTGATTTTCTGTTAAGGTTCCTCAAAGAAGATTGTTCAATTATAGGTACACACTTTCTGATGTCAATTAGTATAGAGAGACCACCTAATTGGCATGAAAATGATACCTAACTCTAATGGGACCTTATTTTCTATGCAATGCTTTAGACACCCACCTTAAGATGCCCTGTATGTATATGTATGTTCATGCGTGGGATCATATATGCACACAATTTTTAGATTCATTTATTGAATCTAATCATAGCTTACAGAAGATTTTATTATCTCAAAACTTTTTTTATTATTTTTGTTTATTTTTACTAGCTGGGAATGGGAAGTGCATTAGAAACATTCTGTGGACAAGCCTATGGAGCAAAACAGTATCATATGCTTGGAATACACATGCAGAGAGCTATGCTTGTTCTTATGCTGCTGGGTATTCCTATAGCATTCCTCTGGAGCTGCACAGGGTATATTTTCACTATATTTGGACAAGACTTGGAGATTTCATCGCAGGCCGGAATCTATGCACTTTGGTTGATTCCTAGCATTTTTCCTTATGGCGTCCTTCAATGTCAACTCAGATTCTTACAGACTCAAAACAATGTCAAACCATTGTTGATAAGCAGTGGAATTACAAGTTTAGTTCATGTCTTGGTGTGTTGGACTCTGGTTTTTGGTGTTGGCTTTGGTAACAAAGGTGCTGCCCTGTCGATTGCCATCTCCTACTGGATTAATGTGTTGGTTTTGGCAGTTTACATCAAGTTCTCTCCGACATGTCAGAAAACATGGACAGGGTTCTCTAAGGAGGGTAAGAAAGATCTTGTTTGTTTTCTTTCATTGGGAATTCCTTCAGCTCTTATGGTCTGGTAAGTTTGAATCTTCCTTTACATAACTAGTATCTTCCTAACATTACATACATGTTAATTTGTCAAGTTTCTAAGGGACTTGACAAAAATTATCTATAAAGTACATGTAATTTTTTGTTGTTTACTACAATAATCTAATTGATTGTACTTGTGAATCAGCTTGGAATTTTGGTCGTACCAGTTTTTGGTTCTCATGTCGGGGATTCTGCCTAATCCAAAGCTAGAAACATCGATGATGTCTATATGGTTTGCATCTCTATATATACTAAAACATGTTGAAGTAGAATATCCCAAATGTATTTAAATTCAAGAAAAAAGAAAAAGAAAAAAAGAAAAAACTGAGCATTAATGATTTGGTGTTATGTTTAGCTATGTCAGAGAACAAATGTAATACAAAAAACACTGCCTTGTGAACTTCGATTCTTTCTTATCATAAGTTGACAAATCCAATAGCTTATATATGATTCTAATGCCATCAGCATAAATCCTCCATTTCTTACTTCTATAATCTTTTCAGCCTCAACACAAGCTCAGTGATCTTCAGAATCCCCTTTGGTTTTGGCAGTGCAGTAAGGTATGTTTGACAAAGCAGTATTACATCACCCATCATTAATCAGCTACATATCGTTATATACATTGACATTCTTCCCTCTCTATTGGATTCAAAGCACGAGAGTCTCAAATAAATTAGGCACAGGGAAACCTCAGGCTGCCCGACTTGCAGCACAGGTTGTGATATTCCTGGCCATCGTAGAGGGCCTGTTGGTAAGCTTAGCTTCAGTTGCAGCGCGAGAACTATGGGGCTATTTGTACACCAATGAAGAGGAAGTAGCAAAATATATAGCTTCTGTTATGCCAGTGCTTGCCATTTCCAACTTCATGGATGGAATTCAAGCCGTACTCTCAGGTTAGAGCTTCTATTATATATCCCTCTCTAAATTAGAACATTGTTTTTCTGATAGACATTATATGGTTCTGAAACATGGGTGCTTCGGGTTTTTATATTAAATTCATATACCTTCTTGAATTATAACATCACGAGAACTTCATAGGCATTGCAAGAGGATGTGGTTGGCAGAAGATCGGTGCATTTGTGAATTTAGGAGCTTATTACCTTGTTGGCCTTCCTTCTGCAATCATCTTAACCTTTGTGTTTCACTTTGGAGGAAAGGTATATAAAAACTAAAATGTCCATCTTAATTTCTTAGGGCATATGTGGCCTTTCTTGTGTTATTGATGTCCGTTCTTTTTAGGGCCTTTGGATGGGAATCATAAGTGGGAGTGGTCTCCAAGCCTTGCTGCTTTTAACCATTACCATGAACATGGATTGGGAGCGTCAAGTAATTTCAAATCTTCCCTTTGATCAAATCATTATTGATAGTTAAATCAGCATAGTTTTCTTTTAATCTTCTGCGCTCTGCTTTTCGCAGGCAAGAAAGACCCGCGATAGAATCTACGCTTCCATCATCCCAGTAGATATGGTATCATGAAATAGTTTAGTTTGGACTAATTGTTGATGCAAAGTGTTGTTGTACAAAAGAAGCTTATTAAGCTTCAAGCTTAAGAGTTTGAGATGGACAGAGTGGTATTGTATGTTTAATTTTCTTGTCATCAACTCCAAATTCAGATTCGGTTATAGACATCTTCAGTAAGTTGTCACATTAAAGTGGATTTTTTTTTTTTTTTTTTTTTTTTTTTTTTTTTTTTTTGTATTTCTTAAAATTCAATAACATTAATATGTTTGTATTATGAGAATTCAATTTACTAATACATAAGCTCTTAAATCTATTCACAATTACCATGATTCATTTATGGAAGTGCTATATCTCTTGCACCTTCATAAAACTCATATGAAATGTTAAGAGAGAGATAGGTTCAGACTCATTTCATATTAGATCACATATAATATATGCACACACTTTATTGTGCATACAAAATCATTCATGGAAACGAAACTCTATCTAGGTTATAATTGTGTTGGACCTTATCATCAAGACACTCATGACCTAGGCTCCACCCCCACAAACCTAGATTGGAAACCACATTGTAATATAGAAGTCCAGTTTCAAACTTACCTAGGTGCATGATTACATTAAAGGCAAATTCCGGCATGGTGTACAAGAAATGGTTATGGATTCTCATTAGAGTAGAGAGTCAAGGGAAGTACAACCTCCATAGATTTGAAACAGAAATGGATTGCTAGGCGCCACCTAAAGGGTCCCATAAAAGTGGTCAATTGCACCACCTTCTTGTTTTCTCTAGTTGGCCATTGGATTACAAGAATACAATCCAAAATAGAAAGGCCTGTTTGGGAACCACAATTGTTTTGTGCTTTTACTCTGATATGAAGCCGAAGCAATATTTTTGTTTTGGAATGTGTTTAATACTGTGTGAAAGCATGTTTGGTAACGTGTATTTGTTGCAAGATTTTTGGAAACAAAAATATGAAAACATTTTTGGTAAAGTCTTAACAATTAATGTGACGTTTAACAGATGGCTACATTTTTCTAGAGAATTATGATTGTCGAAAAGATATTGGTTGGTGAGAAAATCATTTTTAATACATTATACATAACCTTGTATAAGTGTATAAGTTAGTGAGAAAATCATTTTTAATTCTTTATATCATAAAGAGATTGACTAAATAGGTGAGAAAAAAAGTATTGGTTGGTGCCTTTCACATTTATACATTATATATACAAAACCTTGAATACACAAATTAGAATGATGATAAAAATATTCATAAAGAAATTAACAAAAGATCAAACTCAATCCAACTTATGCAATGCAAAACATTTGAACTAACTTTAACAGTCCTAATGTGAAGTAAAATCATGATTATCAATGACAATTTCTGGGTGATATTCATTTTATAAACACATGTTCTTCTTGTATAATGCAACGGTCCATTTACACGTACATTCATAGAAGCATTGAGAAGCAAAAGAGTTTTTTCAAAACTCGTGCTCATAGCACTTATGCTATGAATTGTTTTTTCATTATGGCTCCGTTTGTTCCGAAGTAAAATATTTTTTTATATTTTTTTTCAAAGAAAATATTTTTTTATTTTTAATTTGTCGGTATTTGGCAAATGTCTACGTCGAGGTTGAGTTCGAGTCCATCGGATGGTGCATGTAAAATAACTTACCGAAAATTTATGGATAAATTATATTTGTTAAATTTTAATATTTTTTTTCTTTGTAAATATTTTACGACAACCATACATCATAAAATAAAATTATATTTTTTAAAAAATATTTTATGTCCAAATAAACGGAGCCTATTGTCACGTTCCGATTCCTAACGACGCCATGAGCATAGAAGACACGCATGCTGGTTGGTTAAGAACATTCATTGACTGGGAATGGTTCCAGGGAAGGGGCGTGCAAGACCACAGGATGGTATCTCTTCAGAGTTCAGGCAGATCGACTCGGTTTAGTTCGAGGTGTTTGTCGCTAGTCGTGGACTTGATTATGAAGAAGGGAGTTGGCCATCCTTGCACAAACTAGTCGGGAGTTGGAGTCGTTCCCCTGATGAGACCAAGGCAGGTCGAAACCAGTCAGCATATATTCTTGGGAGGACAGGTCGTGGTGGTTGATCAGGACGCTTACGCGAACTGAAGCAACACCTTGATACTGCACGGACCGTGTCGCTGCGCCAAATCTTTAGGCTGTGACACTATGCTTTTAATATTCTCATCATACTTATATTTTTTTAAAGCATGCTTGACTCTCCTTTACTGCACACAATGCCACACGTGTTAGTCTTGTACAATGCAATGGTCCATTTGTGGCATGTAGATGATGACTATTAAAAACTCATTGAAGATGTACACTCTCGTGGCGGAATTAAGTATATAATATTCCGGAACATTTACACTTATTATTTCGAGACAATAGGTAATCATGAAAATTCTCAATTTGTATTAATAATATAAAAATAGAGAATTTTTAAGAAGAAAGATGATTGTGTATTAGTTTAGGGTACCACTGAGTAAATACCTATACTTTCTCGCTAATGTGAGAGAAATTTGAAAAGAAGAGTAGTTTTTTTTTCTTTTTTTCGGATGGGTCAAATATCCAGGTGCCCCCATGTATGCAATGTGAGCATGACACACATGCATGACTATGTTTGCTTAACTATGTCATGTTGTTTAATACTTTTGGTCAAGTTTTCATCATTTTATTGGACCAGTAGCCAACTTTGTTGCTTAATATGGATATCATGGCAGTTAGAGCAGGTCCAATGGAGCGGAATACCGCGATTTTGGGCCAAGTTTGGAAATTGGCATGCTTCAATGGGTAGCCAAAAATTGGGTCCTACCCATTGGATCGTGGAATGGGTCGCGTTGGCGAGCAGCGAGCCTGCCATGCTGGCCCGCATCCATTTTTTTTTAATTTTTTTTATTCTGGCCCAAAACTTTCTCTTAGTCCAAAACACTGTTTTTAGGGCATGTTTGTCTAAAAAAAAGGGAAAAAATCAGTTTTTTGGCTGATTTTTGTCTCTTTTTATTATTTATTTATTTATTATTATTATTATTTTTTTCTTCAAAATAATTGAACCAAAGAGCCATTAAGGCACTGTTTGGCTCTTAAAGACTGTTTTGGGCAAAAAAAGGTTAAAAAAAATAAATAAAAGTATTTTTTTTTTTAAAAAAAATTTGCTTTTTAAAATATTCCTACTGACATATAGCTGTTTTACCAAAACAGTACCTAAACGGCTATATTGGCACAAAAACCTATTTTTGAAATTTTTTTTTGAAAAAATTCATTATATATATATATATATATATATATATTTATTTATTTATTTTAAAAAAAAAACCTTTCATGTTTAAATTTATGTCGTATTGTTTTTAATAATAAATATTCTATTGTTTAAATTTTATTTTATTTTATGATATAGCCGTTAGGAAAAAGTTAAAAAATAAAATTTATTAAAATATTAATTTTTTTGGAGAACGAAAATGCACTATTGGAGTACATCCGATAACTAAAATTTGGAGATTCTAAAACATTGACGTGACTATGAGAAATACTGACGTGGCTATAGAAAAATGCTGATTTGACAAATTCGGAGAGCCTAAATTCGGAGAGTCCATGGGAGATGCTGTAACGTCTCAAACTAATACTTTTTAAACAAAAAAAAAATTCGGCATGACCTCCCCTAAAAATAGGCCTATCACAACCTGTTTAATTGCATTTTTAACCTGTCACGGCTCAAATTCCGAATTCACGGCAATAGTAGATGATAATACACAATCAAATGACCTCGATAATACCTCAAACTAGTATTACTCTCCCCATGCATCAATAAGGTTTACATGTTATCAAATTCACATCCAAAATATCATCAAATACCTTACATTACATAACAAAGTTTTGCAAAATATACATATACACCTTCACACTTTTAGTGCTTTGCAAAAATAATGGGAGATATACAAAAGACACAAAAGTGAGCTTCTAGTATCGCTCAAGCTTGAGGTGGGTTGTCGTCCACCGGTTCTTTTCCAAGACCTGAAAAAAAATATATAAATAGTAGGGTGAGCTATATGCTCAGTAGGTAACACTTAAGACACAATTCTTGTGTCCTAGTGAATCCAATCAAAGCATAGGCCAATGGGAGATAGGGATCATACAACATAGGGGATCGAATACAACATACAATTCAATTTCAATTATAAACAATGCAATGCAATGCAATGAAATGCAATGCATGTCAATGACACTCCCCATTTTCATTCTCAAAACCATCACTTTCAAACGTTAATACAGCCCGCCCTTTGGTAATCCCGCCGCGACACGAGAGGAGGATTGGCTAGTGTCCCTGACCCTTGGTAACCCCGCGGCGTCATTATGGGGCCCAGCTAGCTCAACCACACTAGGGCGACTCCCTAGTCCCCTCTAGGCTATATTAACCTCCGGCCCGTTGGTAACCCCGCAGCGACCGGGTTTGTCAAAACCAATTTTTTTTTTTTTTTTTTTTTTTTTTTTTTCCAAAACATTCATTCCCAAATCCCCATTTTCATTTCAAGACAACCACTTCCCTTTTTCATGCAACCCAATGAGATGTAGGCTCATGTCATGATCTCAATATAATGACAAATGGGAACTTAGCACAATAATAAATAAGCATGTTCTCATGGCATCATTATAGCATGTTAGTAACCTCAAAAAAAATGTAAACAACCATCACATAGACATACTTTTCATTCAACCATGTTATACACATTTACATAACTAGCATGTTGTCAATTAAATCATTTTAATCAAAATCAACAACAATTAAACATACTATAACACACATAGAGGAACATGATTCATTATAGAGCAAGATTCCATGGCTTAAGATGTCCCTACCTCAAAAATGAGCAAACCCTAGAAAATGGGTCCTAAATTTCGAAGTCCAAAGGGTGCACCAAATCTGTAATTGTTGGTATGGATGTGTAGAGCTCGACACAAGCTTCGTTTTGCCTCAAACGGCACCTCAATCCGACAAAAGATGAAGGAGTAATCAACAATGGAAGCTTGAAATGAAAAGAAAAGAAAAAAAAAAAAAGACAAGAAGGAGAAGCAGAGGCGTCTGTCGGGAGAGAGAGAAAAAGGCAGAGACCAATTTTTGGTCTCACAATTCACTTAAAAAGTGATGTGGGTCCCACTTCTTTTATAATTTCTTTTTCTCATTTTCTTTTTCATTTAAATCACACACCACACACACACAATTATATACAAACATCACATTCTCCCCAACTTTAAAAAAATTTCGTCCTCGAAATCAAGACATACCTGAGGAAGAAAACAACGCTGGATACTTGGAGCGAACCTCCTGTTCAAGCTCCCAAGTAGCCTCCTCAACTCCGTGGTGTCTCCAAAGAACTTTCACTATCGGTATCGTCTTGTTCCTCAACACCTTCTGTTGTGTGTCAAGAATCTGAACTGGTCCTTCCTCGTAGGAAGCATCCTCATCAATGTCCATATCTACCCAACTCAAAATGTGAGATGGATCTGGTTCGTACTTCCGTAACATCGATACATGAAAAACATTGTGGACCCTATCCAACTGTGGTGGCAAAGCAAGCCTGTAGGCAACCTCTCCTACTCGATCCAAAATCTCAAACGGTCCAATAAATAGTGGCGACAACTTGCCACTTTTTTCGAATCTCATCAATCCTTTCCGTGGAGAAACCCGTAGAAAAACGTGGTCTCCCACCTCAAAGGATAACGGTCGTCTCCGCTTATCCGCATAGCTCTTCTGTCGGCTCTGAGCTGTAAGTAACCTCTGTCTTATCAACTTAATCTTCTCAGTGGTCTCGAGTACAATGTCGGGTCCTAAGGCGGCTGTCTCACCTACCTCAGTCCAACAAACAGGAGACCTACAAGGTCTACCATACAACGCCTCAAATGAAGCCATCTGGATGCTCGCTTGATAACTGTTGTTGTAGGCAAACTCAATAAGTGGAAGGTGATCCTCTCAACTACCTCCCAAATCAAGTACACATGCCCGAAGCATATCCTCCAAAATCTGGATAGTACGCTCCGACTGACCGTCCGTCTATGGATGGAATGCCGTACTAAGATGCAACGCTGAACCAAACGCTACTTGAAGTCCTTCCCAGAACTTCGAAGTGAACTTAGCATCCCTATCTGACACAATGGTTACAGGAACTCCATGCAACCTTACAATCTCCTTCACATAAAGAACACCAAGCTTCTCTGCATCATCTGTTGCCTTAATAGGCAAAAAGTGAGCCGTCTTGGTCAATCTGTCAATGATGACCTATACGGCCTCATTGCCCCTCCGTGACCTTGGAAAACCTGTCACAAAATCCATAGCAATATGCTCCCATTTCCATTGCGCTACAGGTAATGGTTGCAACAAACCAGCTGGCCTCTGATGCTCGGCCTTCACCTGCTGACAGGTAAGGCATCTAGCCACAAACTGTGCAACATCATTCTTCATCCCGCTCCACCAATATTGACGCCTCAAATTGTGATACATTTTAGTACCACCTGGATGAACTGCAAAGCGGGAAGTGTGAAACTCCCGTAGGACATCCTCACGACAAACTGTGGGAACCACCAACAAGCCCCTGAACCGTAGACCCCCATCTGCATGCAAGGCCCAATCTTTCACTGTCTCACCACTAGAGATCAAAGCGTGGATGGCATCTAAGTCCAGGTCCTGTCTCTGTGACTCAATCACTCGTACAACAAGAGTAGGCTGAGCCACAAGACTAAATAAGAATGCCGACTCACTGCAAGCATCATCATCACAACACTGTAATCCCATCTCTGCCAGATCTTCAAGTATCTGCCACTTCCGAATAGCTAAACTGGCCAAAGTTCCACGAGATTTTCAGCTTAAGGCATCAGCTACAACATTTGCCTTGCCCGGATGATATTGCAAATCAAAGTTGTAATCTTCCAAGTACTCAACCCATCGTCTCTGTCTGTTGTTCAAGTCCTTTTGGGAAAAAAGGTACTTGAGACTTTTGTGATCTGAAAATACCTCGAATCTCTCACCATACAAGTAGTGTCTCCAACACTTCAAGGCAAACACAACTGCCGCTAACTCCAGATCATGAGTAGGGTAGTTAAGCTCGTGAGTCTTCAACTATCGAGACCCATAAGCCACTACTCTACCATCCTGCATCAACACACATCCCAACCCATCACGTGAAGCATCACAATAGATCACCTAACCCAAGCTTTGCTCAGGTATCACCAACACTGGAGCTGTAGTCAATCTCGTCTTCAACTCCTGAAAAGATGAATCACAGGCCTCATTCTAGACAAACTTGACCCCTTTCCGGGTCAAACGGGTCATAGGAGCTGCCAAACGGGAGAAATCCTTCACAAATCTCCGATAGTAACCCGCTAAACCAAGAAAACTGCGGATCTCAAACATATTCTTGGGTCGCTCCTAAGTCAAAACTGCTTCAACCTTTGATGGATCAACTGATACTCCACCTTCTGAAACAACATGCCCCAAAAACTTCACCTCCTGTAGCCAAAACTCACATTTCTCGTATTTGGCATACAATCGGTGTTCCCGCAAAATCTGTAAAACAATACTCAAATGGACCTCGTGATCTTCCCGAGTCCGTGAGTACACAAGAATGTCATCCACGAAAACTACCACAAACTGGTCCAAGTAATCGTGAAAGACGCGGTTCATCAAGTCCATGAATGCCGCTGGCGCATTAGTCAAGCCAAAAGGCATAACAAGGAACTCATAGTATCCATACCGTGTACGGAATGCTGTCTTCGGGATATCCTCATCCCTAACCCGCAACTGATAATAGCCAGACCTCAAGTCAATCTTCGAGAAACAACTGGCTCCCCTCAACTGATCAAATAAATCATCTATCCTTGGCAAAGGATACTTGTTCTTGATGGTGGCATGATTCAACTTCCGATAATCAATGCACAACCTCAACGAACCATCTTTCTTCTTAGCAAACAAGACCGGTGCACCCCACGGTGACACACTCGGTCGGATGAAACATTTCATCCTCAAATCATCAAGCTGCCTCTTCAATTCTTCCAATTCAACTGGTGCCATACGATACGGTGCCATAGAAATCGGCGCAGTACCAGGCATCAAATCAATAGTGAACTCCACTTCTCGGTGTGGAGGCAACTCTGTCAAATCTTCTGGAAAAACATCCAAGAAGTCACAAACAATCGCCGGATAAACTTCTCCCACGACATCATCTTCTTCAGCTAAAAGGCTAGCCAAGAAGTAATCACCACGACTCCGTTTATGAATTCCATACAACGACGATGATTGGGGATCACTCCGATCTCCCGTGAAAAAGAAACAGTCTCCTTCTGGAGTGCAAACTGTAATTCTCCCTTTGAAACAATCGATCATGGCATGAAAGAAGGCCAACCAATCCATCCCGAGAATGACATCAAAGCTAGTCATCTCTAGGAGGATAAGGTCAAACACAAAGGTCCGCCCGGCTATCACAATGGGACACTCCCTCACAATTCGGCTCAAAGACACTGAAACCCCAACTGGCGTATCAACACTCAACGCCTGTTCCAAGAAACTAACTTCCAATCCCGATGCAAGTGCAAATGATGATGAAATGAAAGAATGAGATGCACCAGAGTCAAATAAAACACGGGCCCAACAACCAAACACTGGAAATATACCTCGAAGGATTGACGGTCCATAAGATGCATCTGTCTGTGCCAGTGCAAAAACACGTCCCTGAGGTACCTGTGCCTGAGGACTGCCAACCTGAACACCTGACTGCTGCACTGACATAGTAGGAGTATCCCTCCTAACTGATCGTGAACCCTGTGAAGACATAGTAGGCTGTGGTGGTGGTGGTCTGAAACCTGACTGAACTGTAGCCGATTGTGACGGCATCTGCTGTGACCCTCTGCCACTAATGGTGCCTGCTCTCTGACTCGGACAATCACGAATCAAGTGACCCTGCTGGCCACACCCATAACAAGCCTTCGGAGCTGACGAAACTGAAGATGATCTCATCGGACAACTGGACTTGTAATGTCCGGGCTGCTGACACTGATAACAAACAACTGCACTCCTGTCAGATCTAGCTGGCACAGGAGTGGTAGGAGCAGATCTTGTAAACTGTTGCCCCTGAAACTGAGATGGACTGCCCCTGTTCCTTTTCCAAGAAGATCCCTCTGAGGATGGCCCTGCACCCCTCTTTTGCTTCAATTGCTCTCTTTTTGCATCCTTCTCTCTATTGTCAGCCTCTAGCATCAAAGCCCTTTCCACTGCTTCAGAGTAAACCTTAATAAACTGTGCCGTGATCAACGGCCTCATTCGATCATTAAGACCCGATACAAACTTCCGAGTCTTGTTAGCTTCATCTCTCACCACTTCTGGAGCAAAACGGGAGAGTGAGGTGAACTTGTTCTCATTCTCTGCCACTGACATGTTCCCTTGAATAAGATTATGAAACTGGTCTTTTAACTCCCATCTTTTGGAAAGCGAAAAGTACTTTTCATAGAACAGTTCCTTGAACTTGTCCCAACTCATCTCTTCAATCTTGTACTGGTTAGTGATCGACTTCCACCAAACCTTGGCATCCATAGCAAACTTGTAAGTTGCTAGGATGATCTTCAAGTGATCCTCTGTCACATCCATTGAGGTCAACTGAGTTTCAACTTGGTCCATGTAGTTGTCGGCTACCATTGGATCCGCACCGCCCTCAAACATAACCGGCATCAGCTGAGAAAACCCCTTAATGATCTTGAGACGCTTCTGAGCTGGAGTCTCCTCAACTCGAACTGTAGGTTGTGGTACCAACTGCGGCTGAGCAACAATCGTTGCCCTCACGACATTTTGCAACAAACGATTAAACTCCAGTGCCACAGAACCTTCACCCACTTCTACGGGTACGGGTGTTTCAACATTCTCTCTTCTTGAGGGAACAGCTCTTGGGGGAATCAAGTCCCTAACAAGCATGTTCTCATCAACTGGCTCCGCCGGATTGGAGCTAGAGCTCTCACCAACATCACCCCTTGTTGGTCTAGGGCCAACTTCTCTAGGTTCCTCACGCCGTGACATCGTGCTATAAAACGAGAAAACGATTCAGAAACATGACACTAAGGTCCACTGTGGACGACTCAACAAGAATTAATACCGTACAACACTTAGCATGCAAGACTATGCAAGAAACATTTTAACATAAACAAGTAAGCAAGTAAGCACATAGGCAGTTAAGCATGCTCATTTAAATAAGATACCACGTAGCAAGTAGTCAAGTAAGCAACACAAACAACATTCCATGCGACTCTATGTAGGCCTCTACCCGTCGTCCTAAAGGTTTTCGAACCTTGGCTCTGATACCAAATTTGTAACGTCTCAAACTAATACTTTTTAAACAAAAAAAAAATTCGGCATGACCTCCCCTAAAAATAGGCCTATCACAACCTGTTTAATTGCATTTTTAACCTGTCACGGCTCAAATTCCGAATTCACGGCAATAGTAGATGATAATACACAATCAAATGACCTCGATAATACCTCAAACTAGTATTACTCTCCCCATGCATCAATAAGGTTTACATGTTATCAAATTCACATCCAAAATATCATCAAATACCTTACATTACATAACAAAGTTTTGCAAAATATACATATACACCTTCACACTTTTAGTGCTTTGCAAAAATAATGGGAGATATACAAAAGACACAAAAGTGAGCTTCTAGTATCGCTCAAGCTTGAGGTGGGTTGTCGTCCACCGGTTCTTTTCCAAGACCTGAAAAAAAATATATAAATAGTAGGGTGAGCTATATGCTCAGTAGGTAACACTTAAGACACAATTCTTGTGTCCTAGTGAATCCAATCAAAGCATAGGCCAATAGGAGATAGGGATCATACAACATAGGGGATCGAATACAACATACAATTCAATTCTAATTATAAACAATGCAATGCAATGCAATAAAATGCAATGCATGTCAATGACACTCCCTATTTTCATTCTCAAAACCATCACTTTCAAACGTTAATACAGCCCGCCCTTTGGTAACCCCGCCGCGACACGAGAGGAGGATTGGCTAGTGTCCCTGACCCTTGGTAACCCCGCGGCGTCATTATGGGGCCCAGCTAGCTCAACCACACTAGGGCGACTCCCTAGTCCCCTCTAGGCTATATTAACCTCCGGCCCGTTGGTAACCCCGCAGCGACCGGGTTTGTCAAAACTAATTTTTTTTTTTTTTTTTTTTTCCAAAACATTCATTCCCAAATCCCCATTTTCATTTCAAGACAACCACTTCCCTTTTTCATGCAACCCAATGAGATGTAGGCTCATGTCATGATCTCAATATAATGACAAATGGGAACTTAGCACAATAATAAATAAGCATGTTCTCATGGCATCATTATACCATGTTAGTAACCTCAAAAAAAAATGTAAACAACCATCACATAGACATACTTTTCATTCAACCATGTTATACACATTTACATAACTAGCATGTTGTCAATTAAATCATTTTAATCAAAATCAATAACAATTAAACATACTATAACACACATAGAGGAGCATGATTCATTATAGAGCAAGATTCCATGGCTTAAGATGTCCCTACCTCAAAAATGAGCAAACCCTAGAAAATGGGTCCTAAATTTCGAAGTTCAAAGGGTGCACCAAATCTGGAATTGTTGGTATGGATGTGTAGAGCTCGACACAAGCTTCGTTTTGCCTCAAACGGCACCTCAATCCGACAAAAGATGAAGGAGTAATCAACAATGGAAGCTTGAAATGAAAAGAAAAGAAAAAAAAAAAAAAGACAAGAAGGAGAAGCAGAGGCGTTTGTCGGGAGAGAGAGAAAAAGGCAGAGACCAATTTTTGGTCTCACAATTCACTTAAAAAGTGATGTGGGTCCCACTTCTTTTATAATTTCTTTTTCATTTAAATCACACACCACACACACACAATTATATACAAACATCACGGATGCCCTTATATAAAATATATCATGCATACAAACAAGTGGAGGTATATATAAATAAAAAAATATGCACACATATAGAGAGAAATATAAAAGTTTATGCAACAACAAATGGCATGCATGCATTTTGCATGCATATATATATTCCCAATCAGTTGTTTACCTTGTTGTATCACACCCTTCTCGCATAAAGAGAGTCCTTTTTTCCCATTTTCGTCTGAATTCAAGGAGTAACAAGAGACATGATTCAAGAAGACTCCAAAATTCTTCTTGGATCTCCTCTGATTCCAAGCCCTGAAAAGGGTATTGAGTTTGATTTGCCGGAGAAGATTGCTGAGCTGAAAGAGCAATTGCAGTTGGCTGGTCCTCTGATTGTAGTTAGCTTCTTGCAGTAGAGTTTACAGATGATTTCTGTTATGTTTGTAGGCCATCTCGGAGAGCTCTCTCTTTCAAGTGCTGCCATGGCTACTTCATTTGCCGGAGTCACAGGTTTCAGCCTCATGGTAAGTCTTGTTCTTTCATGGTTTGTACTTGCACAATATTGATGTTGTGACCTGAATTTTATTTCATGGTTTGTACTTATACAATATTGAAGTTGTGACCTGAATTTTATTTCAACGGGTTGTGGACAACTTGCATCTAATGTCATTTTTTTTTTTAAATCCATTTTATGTCTTGCAGGTTTGTAGATCGACCTGAATTCTAGTATCCTTTAAATACTAGAGTTCGTAGTATGAGTATGAGAGAACAATGAAATTCGAAATATCAGTAACTTAATCAATTGTAGTGACATCGAGTCCCTTGTTGACCACTTTTTCTCTTACACAGTGATAATCAACGCTTGTTCTCTCTTACACAATGATCATAGTCAACTTTGAGATGTTTTGTCTGAGCATAATAGACAAGATTTGAGGCCAGTGAGATAGAACTAATATAATCACACCATACATGTGTTTCAATTTTAATTATCAGGGTGACAGTGAGGTTTGAATTCAGGACCTTCCATACCATGTTAATCATCACCTATTCTAAAAGATTAAATTGTTACAGAAGGTGTAAATTTTAATATTTAAATTCTCTAACAGTTAAGGGCTTGAGAACATTCGCATAGTGAAATTTTTTCGCCGATCTTCACCATGGACGTCGGCTATAAGCCGAGTCACATAAATATTTGTATTTGTGTGATGCATGAGTTCCTCGAAAAAGAGTGTTCAATTATAGATACACACTTTCGGATGTCAATTAGTATAGAGAAACCACCTAATTGGCATTAAAATGACCCCTAATTCTAACAGGACCTTATTTCCTATGCAGGGCATCTTCCACCTTAATGTCCTGAAGGGTGGGTGGCTAAAGCATTAAAGACATTAAGGTGGAAGATGCCCTGCAGGCTGCATCTATATGTATGTACATGCATGGGATCATACATGCGTACAATTTTTAGATTAATTTCTTGAATCTAATCATAAGTTACAGAAGATTTTATCATCTCAAAACTTTTTCTTTTTTTGGGACTAGCTGGGAATGGGAAGTGCATTAGAAACATTCTGTGGACAAGCCTATGGAGCAAAACAGTATCATATACAATACACATGCAGAGAGCCATGCTTGTTCTTATGCTGATGGGTATTCCTATAGCATTCCTCTGGAGCTGCACAGGGTATATTTTCACTATATTTGGACAAGACTCGGAGATTTCATAGCAGGCCGGAATATATGCACTTTGGTTGATTCCCAGCTTTTTTCCTTATGGCGTCCTTCAGTGTCAAGTCAGATTCTTACAGGCTCAAAACAATGTGAAGCCATTGTTGCTAAGCACTGGAATTACAAGTTTAGTTCATGTCTTGGTGTGTTGCACTCCGGTTTTTGGTGTTGGCTTTGGCAATAAAGGGGCTGCCCTGTCCAATGCCATATCCTATTGGATTAATGTGTTGATTTTGGCAGTTTATATCATGTTCTCGCCGACATGTCAGAAAACATGGACAGGGCTCTCTGAGGAGGGTAAGAAAGATCTTGTTAGTTTTCTTTCATTGGGAATTGCTTCAGCTCTTATGGTCTGGCGAGTTTGAATCTACCTCCTAACATTACATACATCTTTCTTAAGTTTCAGAGGGACTTGACAAAAATTCCCTATAAAGTACATGTATTTTGTTCTTTTTTTACTACAATGGTCTAATTGATTGTACTTGTGAATCAGCTTGGAATTCTGGTCGTACGAGTTTTTGGTTCTCATGTCAGGGATTCTGCCTAATCCAAAGCTAGAAACATCGATGATGTCTATATGGTTTGCATCTCTATACATACTAAAACATGTTGAATTAGAATATCCCCAAGTGCATTTAAATTCAAGATCCAAGATAATTGATTTTCTTTTGATCATACAACATTAAAAAAAGAAGAAGAGTATTTAGGTTAGATTCAAGAAAACCACTACCTAATGTTGGTTCCCTTTAATTGAGGGTGCTATAAGGGATGGATTGAGCAGAAATCTAACTTTATTACCCCTGATAGCACAAAATGGACACTTTTTGCTTAATTGGAAAAGAGTTTCCATCAAAACTCATGCTTTTTACTGTTAGCTATGCAAGAAAATATTTGTGGGGATGTTTTTTCTCCATTAATATTAATTAGGCAGTTCTTTGTATCATTCTTGTCATGCATTAATGGTAAATATGCATATCAGCATGGCTGTTCTTTGCTAAAATCTGGTGTTATGTTTCCCGAGAACAAATGTTATATTCCCCTCCCCCACCCCCCAAAAAAAAAAAAAAAAAAAAACCACTGTTTGTGAACTTGCTTTTTTCTTCCCATAAGTAGAAAATCCAATAGCATACATACGATTCTAATGGCATCAGGATAAATCCTCCATCTCTTACTTGTATAATCTCTTCCAGCCTCAACACAAGCTCAGCGATCTTCAGAATCCCCTTTGGTTTTGGCAGTGCAGCAAGGTATGTTTGACAAAGCAGTATTACATCACCCATCATTAATCAGCCACATATCATTATATACATTGACATTCTTCCCTCTCTATCGGATTCAAAGCACAATAGTCTCAAACAAATTAGGCGCAGGGAAACCTCAGGCTGCACGACTTGCAGCACAGGTTGTGATATTCCTGGCTGTCGTAGAGGGCCTGTTGGTAAGCTTAGCTTCAGTTGCAGCGCGAGAACTATGGGGCTATTTGTACACCAATGAAGAGGAAGTAGCAAAATATATAGCTTCTGTTATGCCAGTGCTTGCCATTTCCAACTTCATGGACGGAATTCAAGCCGTACTCTCAGGTTAGAGCTTCTATTATATATCCCTCTCTAAATTAGACCATTGATTTTCTGATAGACATTATAAGGTTCTGAAACATGGGTGCTTCGGGTTTTTGTATTAAATTCATATACCTTCTTGAATTCTAACATCACGAGAACTTCATAGGCATTGCAAGAGGATGTGGTTGGCAGAAGATTGGTGCATTTGTGAACTTAGGAGTTTATTACCTTGTTGGCCTTCCTTCTGCAATCATCTTAACCTTTGTGTTTCACTTTGGAGTTTGGAGGAAAGGTATATAAAAACTAAAATGTCCGTCTTAATTTCTTAGGGCATATGTGGCCTTTCTTGTGTAATTGATGTCAACTCTTTTTAGGGCCTTTGGATGGGAATCATAAGTGGGAGTGGTCTCCAAGCCTTACTGCTTTTAACCATTACCATGAACATGGATTGGGAGCATCAAGTAATTTCAAATCTTCCCTTTGATAAAATCATTATAGATAGTTAAATCAGCATAATTTTCTTTTAATCTTCGTCGCTTTGCTTTTCTCAGGCAAGAAATGCCCGCGATGGAATCTACGCTTCCATCATCCCAGTAGATATGGCATCTTGAAATAGTTTAGTTTAGACTAATTGTTGATGCAAAATGTTGTTGTACAAAAGAAGCTTATTAAGCTTCAAGCCTAAGAGTTGGAGATGGACAAAGTGGTATTGTATGTTTAATTTTCTTTTCATTAACTCCAAATTCAGATTCAGTTATAGATAGACATTTCCAGTAAGTTGTCACAGTAAAATGGAAATTTTTTTTTTATTTTATTAAAATTCAATAATATTAATACGTTTGTATTATGAGAATTCAATTTACTAATACAGAAGCTATTAAATCTGTTCACAATTACCATGATTCATTTATGGAAGTGCTAGATATCATATGAGATAGGTTCAGACTCATTTCATATTAGATCACATATGATAAATGCACACACTTTGTTGTGCATATAAAATTATTCATGTAAACCAAACTCTATGACCTAGGCTCCACCCCACAAACCTAGATTGGAAACCACATTGTAATATAGAAGTCCAATTTCAAACTTATCAAGGTGCATGATTCCATTAAAGGCAAATTCAGGCATGGTGTACAAGTAATGGTTATGGATTCTCATCAGAGTACAGAGTCAAGGGAACTACAACCTCCATAGATTTGAAACAGAAATGGATTGCTGGGCCACCTAAAAGGCCCCAAAAAAGTGGTCGATTGCACCACATTCTTGTTTTATTTAGTTGGCCATTGGATTACAAGAATACAATCCAAAATAGAAAGGCCTGTTTGGAACCATAATTGCTTTGCGCTTTTACTTTGACCCAAAACCGAAGCAATATTTCTGCATTGGAATGTGTTTAATACTACGTGAAAGCATGTTTGATAATGTATATTTGTTGCAAGATTTTTGGAAGCAGAAATATGAAAATATGTTTGGTAAAAAAGTGTTGCAAATTTGAAAAATAAAATGGCTAGTTTAAAAGGTCATTTTCGAGTATTTTTTTTTTTTTGGGTCGCTATAGTGCGGAAGCACTAATTTTTTACTTCTGGTTTTGGCCTCTTTTTCGAAAACGCTTCGGTACTATTTAAATCGCAACAAGCATTACCAAACACGCTTTGCAACAAGCGTTACCAAATATGTTTCGTGCTTTTGCTTCGCTATAGTACCATTATACTGTCCGAAGCAAAAAAAAAAACACATGAAACAAAAGCAGTTGCCAAACTAAGCTTAAGAAATTTGTTTTCGTGATCTGAACCTCATTAACTTTTCTTTTTCTTTTTTTGGTAGCTAAGGCTGAGTGTTACCCCCAACAGGGGCAACACCAAAAATTCTATTGTTGCTTTTAGGAACCCTGGTCCAATTTCAAATCCAAACCTGCATTCTCCTAAACATAGTATATGTATATATTTGTTAAAGTGGTTGTAGACTGTCTGGGTGTAAATATGGCCTATGGCCCGGCCTGGCCCAACGTAATTTTTCAACCCCAAGCTGGGCCTATAAACTAAGCCCAAGTCCTGTCATAGCCTAAACCACCAGGCCCAATTTTTCTTAAATCATTTCCAAAGTAGTGAACATTTTATTGTTTTGTTGTGCTATAAGACTTTAATTTGATTTGATTTTTCCACCTAGGAAGAAAACCTTTAATTTGCCCTTTAGACTATTTTATGCACCATATTCAAGATACCTACTCATGTACAAAGTATAATTCTATAAACCTCTATATATCTTTTAAACTAAATGACAAAAATAACCTTGAATTATATCAATACAGTAATTTAGTTTTTTTTATCTCTCATTCTCTTCTAGTAGCATATAGATTGCCCTCAAGCTATTGAAGACAAATCATTGTCAACACGAGAAGGTAAAAAAGAATGACTGATGATACGGATGAAAACAACAATACAAACATGACTTAATAGAAATCTCTATAAATTTTATAGTGTTTATATTGTCTTTAAAAGTCATTTTTTTTCTTTGATAGCTTTTTGGGTGGGGGAGGGGGTTAAGTATAATTTTTTCCAACTCAATAACTTCTTCTCTCGATAGAAACAGACACTAATGTTTTTAATTTTTTCCTTTATCTAGTTCTTAATTTTTTTCTTCATCTAATTCTAAAATTTCTAGTAAAAATCTTGTACACAAAATAATTAATATTTGATAAATAGGTGGTAGGGTTTGGTGATTCAGTTGGAGAAAAGAAAGCATACATAGAGAGAAAGAAAAGAGATGAAATTAACGAGTAATTTGATGATAAAGTCTTTGTGATTTGGAGAGTAATAGAGAGTTAGAGAGACGAAGATATATAAGAGACATAATAGGAAGATGATTTAGTTTCATATCCAACCAATAAACGAAAAGCACGTATGAGGTCTATGCTTCCTTAAAGTGGTCTTAACCGTGCCGGAATATGATTAAGTCGACGTTTGGAATTTGTGGTTCCTTTCCCAAGCCTAGTTAGTTTTCTTAGTGGAGAAGAAAACCCGAAAGGCCCAACTCCGTCTATAAATATTGGGTGTACAGAGGAGAGAGAGAGAGTGTGTGTTTGTGTAGAGAGAGAAACGCGGCTCACGGCTACGCGCGCCTGAATCTATGCTAGTTATCTCTGAGAATCAGTCTTCTTATCCGTAATTACCTACCATTTCGCTCTGAAATTTGAAGGATTCCTACGAGTCTGTTGATTTTAGGGTTAGGGTTTCGAATTTTTTTTTTTCTCAGTTGAAATCGTGAAAGGATCTCTTGCGGCTTACCTGGAACGCTTTGGGACTGTTGTTTGAAGGTTCTTAACTATGGAGTCCACTATAGTGATCAAGGTTTGGTTTCTGACTATTGTAATTGCTTCAATGATTTCTTATACCATGCTTATATCAATTGTTGTTTGATAATCGTTTTCTTTGATGCTTTTAAATGATTGATGTGTTGTTTGTGGTTTAATTTTTGTTTGGTTGGTGGAGAAATTGAGGAATTAAGATTAAAGGAAGGTTATTTGTACTACTTGACACTCTCAAACTATTGTGGAAGTGTTTATATGAAGTGTGGAAGTGTTTTTATAGGGAGAGGAGTGTAGTTGACTGGAAAAGGGTTTTGAAAAGAATTTTAAGTAGTTATGATAAGCCCCAACACTTCTGATTTTTTAATATTAATTCAATTTTTCAATAGTGCGCCTTGGGATAAAAAAAACTTTTTTATTATCCAATCTCTTGGAAAGTTCAAATTTTTCTTAATTTATTTCCAGCACTTTCCATCTAATGAACAGGGTTTGAGTTGTTCGCGGATAGTGATGCACTAGAATTAGAGGCCCGGTACTTTTTGAATAATATTGTGGGATTATGGATTTTAATGCTGTCAAAATTTCTATGTTAAATGTTGAATGCCCTTAGTTGCAATGAATTTAAATATTTACTTTCTAATTCTTTTAAATGACGGATTTATTACAGAGTAATATGGCACACACATACATATTTATAGTCCGACACCGGTGACAGTTCTTTGCCACCACAGACATCCACCACTTCTTTCTCTCTCTATATACATATTTCTTCATGTCTGCAGCTGCCTTTGCTCTCTCTCTTTCACTTTGTAAGAATTATTATTGTTGAACCACACCCAATCAACACTGACATAGAAGACCCAATTAATTTGCAACCACCATTATTTTTGAAATGAACCCAACCTCCCATTTTCAATGACCATCAACCAAACCAATCAACTCTGCAACCCACTCGACAGAGATGACCACATCCCACTACCAACGAGTCAACGACCAATCATCTCTGCAATTCACTTAACTTTCTTCGCTTTCTATGGAAAAGACCCAATTTACTGTGCAACTCACTGATATACCATTCTTTGCTTTCTTCATGAGTCTAACCATGAAATCTAGAGACTGAAAGATATTACCTCAATACTCAGATGAGTTAATTAGTGGGAAAATTTCTTCAATTAGTTTTGTTTTCATATGTTCATAAATTATACTTTTGATTGGGTTTGAGGGGTGTTTAGCAGTGGATGCTATGGAGGGGCGATTAGGGCTGTAATGGGTTGTAAATATGGCGCTGATATCTGATGAATTTGTTTCCTTTACCAAGTATAACTTGTTCTGCTAATTACTTTTCAACTATTAAATTTAGCTACATTTTGTTCTGAACTTCCTAAAAGCTTGTTCCTTAAGCAGGTTACCTTTCCAATATGCAAATTGTGTTGGCTTACCAATGTGCAAATTGTACAATTTGCACATTGGTAAGGCAACCGCTTTTTTACTTTCAATATCTCATCCTCATCCTGTACCAAACTGTAACAATAACTTCATAAAATTTCCAAAAGCCTTGAACTTAAATGCATGTCTGTATGCAAGTGATATTAGGTACTGAAGTGATTGCCCCATGTGTATCTGAAATTATAGTACAGTCTTGGTTCCATTTGTATTAGAATGATTGTAAACAAGGAAAATGGAAAAAATATCTTGCATCAAAAAATTATGAACCCGTTGTGATGGGTCCATAATTTTTTTTCTGTTTTCCTTGTTTATAATTATTCTGATACAAATGGAACCATGATACAAATGGAACCAAGACTGTACTATAATTATTATGATACAAATGGAACCAAGATACACATGGGGCTCACTTCAGTACCTACATATCACTTGCATAAAACAGATATGCATATAAGTGTAATGCTTTGGGAAAGTTTATGATGATGTTATTGTTACATTTCATTCTGGGAGGAGGATGAGATATTATATTTAATGGTTATTTCCAAGATATTTGTTAGTATTTTTGGGTCATTTCTGGGATCAGCATGATTAATTTATGACTTTTTCCTTAACTGGGCTTACCATATCACCACCCTCCCCCAAAAAAAGATGTTTTGATCACAGATGATTTAACTTTATGGATATATTTCAAGCCAACTCTATTTGATCCATTTTACTTCCTCATTGTTACACTCTTATAAATATGCATGGGCATTTGTCTTCAGGTTAAATATGGAGAAACACTTCGACGCTTCAGTGCTCGTGTTGACGAAAATGAACATTTAGATCTTGACATGGGTGGATTGAGAGGGAAGGTCCTTGGTCTCTTCAATTTCTCTCCTGATGCTGATCTTACACTTACATATGTTGATGAAGATGGTGATATTGTAGCACTTGTTGATGAAGAAGACCTGCATGATGCCGTTAGGCAGTCCCTGAATCCCTTGAGGATTACTGTAAGGTTGAACACAGAGAGGGTTGGTAGGTCTTATGCAAGATCTAGTGGAAGTTCTACCCCAAGGAGGTCACCTCAAGTTCAACATCTATTACCAAAATTGAACACTGGTGTTACTGACATTTTGAAATCTGTACCAGAGCCATTCCTTGAAGTACTTTCAAAATTGTCGGCTGACTTGGCTTCTAAAGCTGCATCCTCTGCTCCAGGGCTTGCTGAACTTGTCTCAAAGGCGGGACAAACCTACCATAATCCAGTTTCCAATTCTCCGGCTGCTGCAGAATCTAGCACACCAAGTGGCGTTTATGGTAATACCATGAGTTCGTCTGCTTTAAAGGATGACAGGGCCACATCGGATACCTTGCCAAAGTTGAAAGTTGAAGAGCCAGCTCCTAAAAACAATCAGGATGTGGAGGTTGGAAATGTAAACGGCGTTGTGGGGGCCTCAGTAAAGCCAGTGTCTGGCTCTGTGGATAGGAGGTCTGTTGGTTCTGCGTCAGTAGGTTTAATGCCAAATGCACCTAAAATTCCCTTGGGTGACTTTAAGGAGAAGGAAAAGTCTACTGAATGTAATTTTGGATGGAAGTCTGTTGGTGTTGGTGCTTCTAATGAGGGTATAAGCAATTCGGTTCTTTTTTTCTTTTTTTTTTTTTGGTTTCATATCTTGGTCTGGATCCTTTTAACGGGTGTCAATTTACAGGGATTACTTTAGCAAGTGACTCAGCTGCGACTAATGCTCAGTTTGCTCCACGTGTTTATCCATTTAAAAGGAGCAACAACCGCAGTGATGGCATGGGAGGTGTGTTCCATAGGGGTGTTCGCTGCGATGGCTGTGGTGTTCACCCAATAACTGGACCACGATTCAAGTCTAAACAGTAAGAGATAATGAAATGTGTGATTTTGAACTGGTTAAGAGGTGTTCTTCACAAATTTTTTTTTTCCCCTGCAGAAAAGAGGATTATGACCTGTGCAGTATCTGCTTCTCAGTAGTGGGAAATGAAGTTGATTACATCAGAATGGATCGTCCTGTATCTTATCGTCCTCCGTGGTCCTTTAAGGGGGGGTTGTATTATCCTGTATGTAGCACCTATCATTTCAAACTTCATATTCATCTATGTCACTCAGTTACTAGTTGTGCTTCACCCTTTTATTTTGTTTGGCGATTGTGTGATTTTGATATGTTAATCTTTGCGTTTCCCTAGATGCAGCAACCTTATGTTCGTCCTCCAACGCTACCACATGCCTTGAGAGGTTGTGCGATGAAGCCAAATCGACCCAAGCTTGACAGTCGCTTCATTCGGGATGTTAATGTTCTTGATGGTACTGTCATGGCCCCATCAACACCGTTTACCAAGATTTGGCGCATGCGGAACAATGGTACTATAATGTGGCCCCAGGGAACACAGCTTGTGTGGATTGGGGGGGATAGGTTAAGCGAAGCACTTTCTGTTGAGGCAGAGGTGAGCATTTAATGCAAATTCTTTTGCATTCTAGTAAAAATGTTTATACACTTTTTTATTTTTTTATTTTTTATCTGTCGCTTAGTTCCTTTGTCTGGCAAGTGTACATCGGTCTTAATTCAGTGTTCTATAGTTGACATTTTTTTTTGCAACTCTTCATTACCCATGCCAGATTTCTCCGGCTGGTCTGTCTGCGAACAAGGAGCTCGATATTGCAGTTGACTTTACTGCTCCTGAACTTCCGGGACGGTACATCTCATATTGGAGGATGAAGGCTCCATCTGGTCAAAAATTTGGGCAGCGTGTTTGGGTTCTCATCCAGGTCTCCCTCCTTTACTGGCCTTTCTTCACTACTTGTCAATGATGGCATATTTCTTATAGTTAGTCATGCTTCTACTGAATCTTGTTTTAACCATGCAGGTTGATGCGACACTGAAGGACTCGGTGTATGATAGCTTTCAAGGCTTGAACTTGAATCTGCCTCCTAGCAGCAATGGTTTGGCAGGCCCTGGAATTGAAAATGCGGGCATAGATCCCATGGTGGATGATAGCATTTTGGAGCCTGAGAATAACATGGCTGATGTATCAGTCCAGCCATTAGGTGACGAACACCCAAACAAGAACCCAGAGCCACATTTACCTGTTGATGGTACTTCTCCACTTGGTGATGGTGTTTCAAACCCTGTTCCTCTGGAGTCTTCTTCAGTATCATATCCCATTATTGATTTGTCTGATGTAGCACCGACTGCTCCTCCTCAAGCCCTATCTCCTGTTACAAATCTGCCCACATCTGCTCAAGGTGTCAGTGGGAGCGATGATGTTGAGCAGACCCTCCTCAGAGAACTCGCGGAGATGGGCTTCAGGCAGGTTGATCTGAACAAGGAGATCTTGAGGATGAATGAATATGATTTGGAGCAATCAGTGGATGTTCTATGCGGTGTTTCTGAATGGGATCCAATGCTTGAGGAGCTGACGGAGATGGTACGTAGTCTACAAAGCATATGAGAAATGATTTGTGGTGTTCTTTCCTTTTTTCCCGATTGTTCGGTTCCAATAACATAAAGCCTAATAGGGGTTGTGATGTGTGTTGTTGCAGGGTTTCAGTGATAAAGAAGTGAACAAGAGGCTGCTGAAGAAGAACAATGGGAGTATCAAGCATGCGGTCATGGATCTAATTGCTGGAGAGAGGAAGGAGGAGGCATAATAGCCAAAGAAGCTTGTTATTCTGTATGAATAGCACACACAAACATATATATATATTATAAATAAATTCAGGGCTTGCTTGTAGAAACGTTATGATGCTAGTTTTCACTGGTTTCTTGTGGGACGTTTTCCTTTATTGTGACCTAGATTACAAAATTGAACGTTTTAAATAAATATATCTATATATTTTAGTATTGGCTTTAGCTTTTTACAACCATGTTTTCTTGTAACTTTTATTGTTAGTAGGTGTTCTTAAATTCTAGTGATTCCTGTTTTGGGAAATTGTAGGCTGATTATTGATGGTGTGGGTTATCAATATTAGAAGGAAAACGGATTCTAGGAATTAGGAAATGCTGAATGGTGGTCATGTGAGTGGAGGTGTGAGCTTCCCTCACATGACATAAATTCTAGGAATTCAGAAATGTTAAATGATGTTGATGTGAGTGGAGCTATCAGCTCTCTTCTTATACATTATACACTGACTTCATACAGTGGAATCTTACACGCCCACATAAATTTTATTTGGCATTCTTAGATTATTTAGGGTCTATTTGGCATGTGTTTTGTTTTAGGCAAAAATAAAAACAGTGTTTTGAAAAAAAATTGGAAGCATGTTTGGAAACAATGTTTTAGACTTTTTGTTTTTGGCTTGTGTTGCGCTAGTGTTTTGGTGTTTTGGTTTTGAGTCACAGTTCACGAAGTGTTTTAATATTGTGTAAAATAAAAACAAGACCGTAGCAGTTCAAAAACAAAAATAACAGAAACAAAATGCATGTGAAATAGGGCTTACTCTTTTAGATTTTGTTAAATGTGATTGAAAAACAATAAAAAGATAAGCCTATGATGATCAATCAAACCGGGTGTATAATTTCGTGGGCCAAGTAAGGTAAAGTGAGCGAGAGAAAGACTGTTACGGTGTCTCAAAATATCTAAAATTTGCTAACACAAAATAGGGGCAAATATGCATCCTCTCCACAATGGATCCAAATCATATGACCAAGTTGCCCAATTATGGGGCTACCCATGTCACTATGTCCATCACCTCCCAAAAGTCTGGTACCAAGCACCATTTTTGTTTTCAATGTCGGCCACTTGCACCATAAAGAATTAAACATTTTAGTTACACAAGAATAAAACAATTCTTACACTAAGCATGCAACAATATGCTTCTTGTCATAAACAAATCCATTTAGCTGTTGCAAAATGACCACTACATTTTTAGCTCACAAGTGATATATATAAGATGAATAATGCTATGACAGTCTATATGGTGTGTTATGATTGTTCAATTTAAATTCTTGGACAGTCTATTGACAGTCAATTTGTCGAACAAATTGAGTTTAACACATAGATCTCAATAAAATTCTCTTTTAACAAGTAAGATTGGACGGTTGTGTGAATCAAAGTTGTGAGAAATTGAACCATGTGAATCCGGATATCCTCCAGATACTCTCTTGCGGAGAGTACATCCTGTGCCACGTTTTATATCGTAATACAATAGCCTTGTGACGAAATGTAACATAATACAGTATACTATATCGTAATACAATAGCCTTGTGACGAAATGTAACATAATACAGTTACTGCATACGCAATATAAAGTTACAGTGTACAGACGATGTAAAGACAAGCCACGACACACAATTATGGGGTTCATGAATGAGGGCTTGTTCACAAGAGGCTATACCTGGAGTGCTAAGACTTGTAGGTTTGTAGTTTTAATGTAGCTTGTGTTAAAAGTGATGGAGTGAGAGACAAGCAGGAGAAGATGGGAACTTGTCCACTACTCCAGGCATTTCTTAATGAGCACAGGCCCTCCATGTCGACAAGATCTGTTGGCATGTGCAACTTATTAGTTTATATGGATCCCACAGTCTTTATTACAATATTTAGAAATCTCTCTGTCACACACACACTCTCACAGTTCTTTCTTTAACATATAAATGAAACAGAAACCGAATCCCTTCAATGATTTTGCCCCTAGATTAAGACTGAGGTCATGTACTAATTTTTTTTCAAATAAACTCACAACCATTACTCATTTCATTGAACTCCAAAATTGGTTGGAGAATTTAATTCCAAAATTTGATCCTCCACTAAGCTTTTGCTGACAAGGTTCTCTTCCCTTGTTCCCTTTTTGGGGATTTGGTTCTTTTTCCCATGAAATTTTCAGCAACCCTCCTTGGGATTTGAGCTTATTTTTCTTATTTCTCTCTCTACAACATGTGGGGTTCTATATTTTATCATCCCCAACTATTTATTCTGATCTTTGGATCATTATTTTTGAGATGTGGTTGTGTTGGGTAGATTGCCATTGGTATCAGACTCTATCAGTACAATAGAGTACAGAGCATGTCCTTTGTAGTTCTCTGTTTCATGTCAGCTTATCCATGCCCAATGTATATAGATCTTGTAAATGCCCTAGTTCATGAATTTTTATGTATGTTTGCTATAAATTTGTGATGGGTTCTAGGGTTTGTTGCTGGATTTGGTGTTGAACCCTTTTCTGTGTTAGTAAGATGGAATCTGGAAATGAGTTTTACTCAGTTGATGAGTTTAGGTTGGATGGAAAATGGATGGTTGACCCTAAAAATCTCTTTGTTGGTCCAAGAATTGGAGAGGGTGCTCATGCCAAAGTGTACGAGGGCAAGTAAGTAATTCTAACATAACTTCTTCTATAATTTCCTTTTAATGTAATCTGTTGAAATTCTTTCATGTTATCATTGTAGCAATGCCATTCATGTACTGTGGGATTTGTTCTAGGTTGACAGAAAGTGTAGATTTGGAAATTCTCAGCTTCATTAGTTGACAAATTCTGCCATAAATTCCATATCTTTCTTCTTTTTTCATATTTTTTATTGAAAATCTATGAATTGAATATAATTCAATATCTAAAATTTATTGGTTCTGTTTCATAGGGACTTATTGGGGATACTTTTTTATTTTTTGAAATCCAGCTCTTAATGGGCAATTGGGTATTTTTAGGTTTTTATGAAATCATTGAATTGCATATTATTAGTCCCTGATGAAATTGGGATTGAACTTCAGATCTTCACTTGAAGTTGTGCTTCTTGAGTAATTTATTTTTTTTATTTGGTGCTTTTAGATATAAGAATCAGAATGTTGCCATTAAAATTGTTCATAGAGGAGACAGTCCAGAGGAAATCACCAAGAGAGAAGCGCGGTTCGCGAGAGAGGTTGCTATGTTGTCTAGAGTTCAACATAAGAACTTAGCAAAGGTTGGATCTAATTCCAAGGTTCTTCTTAGGTTTGTTGCCAGTTGTATGTGTGGTACATTTTGAATGTAAAGTAGTGATGCAACATCTGAGAATGGTTATTGAATTTATTTTGTATCGACAGTTTATTGGTGCTTGCAAGGAGCCTGTGATGGTGATAGTTACTGAGCTCTTGTTAGGAGGGACATTGCGGAAGTATTTGCGAAACATGCGGCCCAGGTGCTTGGACACACGACTTGCCATCGGTTTTGCACTTGACATTGCTCGTGCTGTGGAGTGTCTGCACTCTCATGGGATCATACATCGTGATCTGAAACCTGGTAATTCCTTCATTTCCAATGTTGGTACATTGAATTCATGCGGTATAAAAATGTTATGCATTAGAAATCGAATTCATGGAAATGTCTTATTGTCAAGCAAGCAAACTTGTATGAACATTCATGTTGAAAGATATCAGCTATGAATTTTTTTTTTTTTTAAAGAATTCAAACACGCTAGTTTGTAGCTTTGCATGATGGAATCTATGTAGTTACTGAATAATTGATATAATACCCAATTTATAAAATAGTACGAGGAAAAAGAGTCAAATGCTAGAAAAGGCCTTTGGATTCAATTTCGATATTTTGAAACTGGAAGATCCATCAGTTCACACTTCCGGATCATTGGAGAGTTTCTGAAGTACTTCATTGAAATCACTTCCAATCATTGCTTTTGCTCCCTGTTAAAAGTTCATAGATGCATTTTTGTAGGTCTTTGCTGACTTGAGTCATGTTTATGAATCGTTTATATAAAGGCTCGAGAGAGATCAGAGTATGACTAAAGTATGAAATGAAGTAGCAAATGTATATTTAACAAGTTTAAGACAATTCCTGTTCAAATTTGTGAAGTTTCCAGGTTCCTATAGTCATTATCAATCCCATTTGTTCCTGAAAATACTATGGGAAGGTTTCCTGAAGTGCCATATTTCCCCGAACATCTGTTTTTAAAGGATATAAACATATTTCCTACACGGGCTAAGTTTCTGATAATCTCATATCTGAACAGTCCTTAGATTTTCTAAGCAGGAAAACTCCTTAAGAAGTAGTAGGGTCTTTTAGCCTGGATCATGTACTTCGTTTCGTGATAGCCCTTGCTCATTTAGTTTCTTCAGTATCTAATTGACTTTGCCTATCCTTTTAAAGCACAGAGGGTGTTTATAAACTAGTTGTTTGGGACCATTGGTCCCAGCCAATCACCATGTGACACATCAGCAAAAAGCTGAATAAAGCTTACACATTTGCTAATGTGTCACATGGTGATTAGCCCGGGACCAATGGTCCCAGGGCCTTGTAATAATTTCCCGTTGTCTTGATCCTTTCTATATTGAATTTACCAAAATGAACCATCTGTTTCAAGTGCCATGTAACCGAAAAAACTAATAGACCTGCGTTGACTATGAATTTCCCAGTAGCATGGTACAAGGAGGATTTATAGTGTGGTTCTTAAACACATTAACAAAGAAGTTTGACAGTTAGAAATGGAATTTCTCATATATATAGAACAGCAGACTTCCAACTTCATGTAGCCGATGGATACGGGATCATAGATTTGGTGATTTATTTCTATTAATAGTGCTTTCTTTGTATCCAATGCTTAGTAGTTATGCACCGATTCTTGGCATGTAAAAGGTGAAAGTTTCAGAGACTTATGTGTGCATTTCGTTTTGTGGTAATGACTTCGTTCTAAAAATTCCGATATTATAGGAAGGACAGATTTAAACACATCTCATGGTTCTGGCAAATTGAACACTATTACAGGTACTTGGGAGCATATCGATCTGATGAACAAAATTAATATGGTCATATATCTACTGGAACTATTTTCTTTCTAGGTTGAGTCTAAGGGATTGCAAGTTCTAACTTGATCTATGAACAAATTTGTTGATGTTGTTACCATGAGGTGTAGGTAGTCGTCTCAATTACCAAAAAGAGAGTGTGGGATGTGCCGTTGAATATTCCTTTTACAATCTTTAAACATACATATGTTTATCTAAATAAATAAGTAAATGGAAACAATTGCTAATGAAGAACTTATAAACTACTGCAGAAAACTTAATCTTGACTGCAGACCAGAAAACAGTAAAACTTGTGGATTTTGGTTTAGCAAGAGAGGAGTCATTAACAGAAATGATGACTGCTGAAACAGGGACATACCGTTGGATGGCGCCAGAGGTACATTACGATGCTTTATAGTTCTCTCTCTCTTTTTTTGCTCATTCTTTTTCTCTGTATCCGTACTTCATAGATTCTAATTGCTTTGCTCGCTCAACGGTGGCAGTTGTATAGTACTGTTACATTGAGACATGGAGAGAAGAAGCATTACAATCACAAAGTAGATGCCTATAGCTTTGCTATCGTGTTGTGGGAGCTTTTACACAATAAGTTGCCTTTTGAAGGCATGTCAAATCTACAGGCAGCTTATGCAGCCGCTTTCAAGGTAATGATCTATTTTTCATCTAGTTCTAAAATTTGGCACGGCTGATTATTTTGGCTTTATGCTTGCTAATTCAGAACACGAGGCCTAGCTTGGATGATCTCCCGGAAGAGTTGGCCATAATTCTGGACTCGTGCTGGAAGGAGGATCCGGATGCCCGGCCTAACTTCAGTCAAATAATAAATATGCTCCTTCATTATCTTTCTACCATTTCGCCCCCTGCACCTATGATCCCTTCTCGAATTTTCACATCCGAGAACTCTGTCTTGCCACCGGAATCTCCAGGTACCAGCTCTTTGATGGCATTGCATGGTGACTCGGGGGAAACCCCCAAAGGAGAGATGGAAAGCAAGCCGAATGGTTTCTTCTTTTGTTTCAACCAATGCTATTAACCATGAAAATTCTGAACTCAAAAGGGAAGTCAAGTGAACAAGAGGCTCGAATCCCATTATTGCATTCGTTTAACACGGTGAATGTAAAGTTTATATTATATCCCCAAGTTCAATTTGTGGGATGAAGATGCTGCTTTACATCGTCGCGATGAATTTACTCAAGCTGTAAGATCTCACTGAACAGAGAGTCTAGGATGAAATGACATCCAAGCTCCAATTCTTGCAAAGAAAATAAAAATGACACTAGCACTGTTAATGTACTAGCACCTACCTACTTTTTATGCTACTCTTACCATAGAATGTCTTGTCTTGTGGCAAAGAGCTTGTAAGGTAGCCTTGAACACATTCCACACAGACCTCAACATTTGCTGGGGACAAAAGGGGGAAAAAAAAGAAGTGAAATGATGATATGTATTGTGTTTTGCTTATGGGTTATAGAGTAATGGCTAGTTTTGGGAGGGATAAGGATCACCGCCAGTTGCACAGTAATCAATTTTCTTCATTTTTGTAAGTAAAAGTACATTATAATATTTTCGTAACGTGCATTTCAATATTTTCTTTCTGTGCATCCCGATGTTTTCCTATTATGCATTCCAAACATGGGTGGGTGACGTGATCATCTTTAGACTACTCATTCTAAAATGAAATAAATGACACACTATTTCACTGGAAGTGATTTTCACCCATTTTGGGGCCACCTTGGTTGCTAAAAATTTCACAGATCTAAAAATATTTTCCCTAACTAAAATCTAATTTATGAACGACCACTCTCCAGGGTTTTTTTTTTTTTTTTTTTTGTCTTTTTACAAAGGACTTGGGAATTGTGAGGACTAAAAGAATTAACTACTAAAAGCGAATAAAGTATTACTACTACTATAAAATGGTGAATTGAAGAACCAGAGGACTGAAATTTAATTAATCTAAGGAATTGAACCAGAGGACTGAAATTTAATTAATCTAAGGAATTGAAGTACATGGACCGGAATTTAAGGCTAACTAATGAGTACTGGAATTTAAGGCTAACTAATGAGTACTGAAAAGTGAAGGCTAAGATAAGAAATTGAATGACAATGATAAGTACGTAGTAATAATTAACTCAAAAATAGAAAGTATTATTTTTGTTGGTCTTTAAGGGATTATATTCAAATTATTATTATTTTTTTCCTGGGTACGTAGAAGTTTTTCAAAGTAGCTGCCTCAATAATCTAAGTAGGTTAGTGTCTTTGGTGAATTTTAAAGTGACAGGTTTCGACTCTCTATATTTATTAATCTAATATCTAACCATTTTTTTTTTATTTTTTATTTTCTTGTTAAAAAAAAAGAATAAAATAAAATGGTAGAGCATAAAAGTTCAAGGAAATAAGACTCAAGAGTACTTGCTAAAAATGACAAGTCTCATAACCACAACTCGTGTATTTGGCGTCTCTATTTCTTAAACTCTATTTGTATTTTAATTTTTAATGGAATTCATGATTATTTGAGTGAGAGTGAAATTGGTGAAAATAATTGTGATTAGGGCTCTGTTTTTTTCACCATAAAATAATTCTTTTTAGGCTCGGTATGTTTTGAAGTTCGAAAAATATTTTTCTTTTTTTGGTAAAATAATTTATTTATTATTATTTTTTTCCAGTGTTTGGTAAAGTTGTAGCTAGCGAAAATTGATGGGTATATTATTTTTGTTAGATTTTAATATATTTTGAGACAACCAAACATCAAAAAATAAAAAATAAAAAAAAAAAATTTGAAAAATAATTTACATCTACAGAGCCTTAAAGTAAAATATATATTTTTTATTTTTAATTTTAATTTTAATTTTTTCAGTGTTTCGTAAATGTCTAAGTTGAGTTCATCGAATAAGACGTGTAAAATAATTTGTCGAAAATTAATAATTAAGTTATTTTTACTTTTATTTTTTAAAAAATATTTTAATTGTTATTTTCAACCAAACACCAAAAAATACGTAGTAAAAAATAAAATAAAATAAGTAAAATAAGTATATTAAGATTATATTTTTGGTGTTTGGTTGAAAATAAAATTAGTAAAATAAGTATATTTTAAGTAAAACATCTTCCTCCAAAAGTCGTAAAATGACTTCCGATTCAACAACTCACTCAAGTCTGAGCGACCCGCGATTCAACAACTCACTCGAGTCATTTTCGGCTTTCGTGAAGTCGACGATCCCGCGTTCTCAGCATCCACAAGTCTGAGCGACCAGCGATCGCGATTGGACTGCATTTCCGGCATCGCACACCGGCGATATGACGACTGGCGGTCAGACTTCCGGCCGACAACTGTTGCTTGAGGCCGACAGGCATTTCTAACGCCGGTGACGTTTTCCAATTTCTGTGCTAGTCTCCACAGTTTGGGTATCTATAATTCATCTCCAAACAATTTTCATATTTTCTGGCTCAAGTAAACTAGTAATAGACGTGATTAGGTTTTGAATCATGATATCGGGACCTGTTTGTATGATCTATTATGATGAGTTCAAACTTTGTAATATATATATACACACACAATGCTAATGGTGTTCTCCCTCTGTAATTAATATATATATATATATATATACACACACAATGCTAATGGTGTTCTCCCTCTGTAATTAATATATATATATATATATATATATATATATATATATTAATTACAGAGGGAGAACACCATTAGCATTGTGTGTGTATATATATATATATATATATGAAGATTTCATTGACATTTTGGTTTGATTTGATTCGGAAAGACTGCCTCCTTAACCAAATATGCTTCTGATTTGAAATTGTTACAACATCTTTTTATTCCTTGTCCACCAACTGTTTGAGAAAATTTCTAATTGATGTATTTTGATTTACTTTATCTTTGTGTTCTGGTGTAAGCCAAACACTGAAAAATAAAAGGAAAGAAAATATTTTACAGCTAAAATGTTTTCCATAAACAAAAATATTACGAAGAAATCATTTTACTTCATACAGATTGGAACCTAAGTATAAGAGCTTAAACATGACGAGAGGTATCATCATAACTTTTTTTTCTACTCAATATCATGATACCTTTCCAATACTCCAAAATCAGGGAAAAAAAAAAAAGTCGATTCAGCTTAAGAGACGTTATACATTATAATGGGGTTCGAATAAGATAGACTAGTAAGAAAAGATGCTTTCAAATATTCTGTGATTGGTTGGAATTAAAGTTTCTTTGAAATATTCTGTGATTGCTAGAGTTGCAGCTTGCTTTATAAAAGTATATTTATGAGTATAATGCATTTGATTGATTGCTTTAGAATATATATATCCCGTGTTGAGATTTCTTGGAGCCATGGAATTCCTTGCCCAATAAAGTATATATCCTATGTAGAAATTTCTTAGAACCGAGGAATTCCTTGCTTCATAAAGTACATGTACTGTGATTGCTTGGAGAATACTTCCACTTTAACCAAAAGATAAATTGTATCGTAAATGGTAACTTAAATATATATAAGGTTAGATGTATAGATCGAGCTTCTCACGTTCCATTTCCCACCTATCTGAGAGAGAGATCTGGGCTTCTCAGTTTTCATTTGAAATGGATTCTAAGGCAAGTGCAAGCACTTCATCCCTTCCAGGCGGTGAATACGAAGTCTTTTTGAGTTTCAGTGTTCCAGATGCTCGTTACACCTTCACTGATTTCCTGTACACAAATCTCGAAGGTGCAGGAGTTCGCACCTTTCTAGACGATAATGAGCTTCGCATGGGTGAAGAGATCGGCCCAGAGCTCCTGAAGGTGATCACTCAATCGAAGATCTCAATCCCAATCTTCTCCAAAACCTACGCTTCCAGTAAATGGTGCCTTCATGAGCTTGCCCAAATGGTGGAGTGCATGAGAACAACAGGACAACTGATTCTACCCATCTTCCATGATGTTGAACCTTCCGAGGTTCAGCATCAATCTGGGAGTTACGAGGAGGCCTTCCGCGAGCACGAGAGCTGTTTCAATGAAAGTATTATTAAAGATTGGAAGGAGGCATTAAGAGAGGTTGGAGCACTCAAGGGTTGGGAAGTCAAGAAAGAAGCTGACGGGTATGTTAATTCATTTATGCTACATAACTGTTTTTTTTTTTTTTTTTTCATAGTGTAAACAATTATAAAAATATAATAATAACAACTTTAAGAAATCAGAACAATACCAAGAAGCTTTAGGCAATGGGTGAGATTAAAATTATAAATCAAAATAGGATGGGATCAAAAATATAATAAGAATTTTAAGAATCAAAAGCCCTAAAAATTAGTAAAACTAAAATAGAATATATGGAGAGTGAATTTGATAAAGTAGCAGACATGTAACTATTACAGTTTACCAAAGAGTTTCTCAAAATAATTGTTTTCGTTATTTGGGGTCAATATTATAAAAAAAAAAATGGGGAGATAGATGGTGATGTTGTAAGTAGGATTGGAGCAGGGTGGGCAAAATGGAAACAAGTTGATTTTATATATCTTATGTGATAAATGAATATCGAATAGATTAAAAGAAATTTTTTATGGGAGGTTATTAGGCCAGATATATTGTATTGAGGAGAATAATGGGCGTTGAAAAAGAAACAAGAAAAATGCATTCATTTAGTGGGAATGAGTATGTTGCGATGGATGATAGGAATAACTAGAAGAGATAAGATTAGTAATGAATAAGTGAGGAGAAAATTAGGAATAGGGCCTGTTAGTGATAAAATTAAAGAGACTAGACTTAGGTGGTATAGTCATATAAATGTGAATCCAGAGATGTACCGATTCAAAGAGGAAGGGTTGTTTGCCTAGAATGTGACGAGGTAGAGGCCAACCAAAACTTCATTGGATGGAGTAATTAAAAATGATTAAAAAAAATTAAACTTTGAAGGAGAAATGTTATATAATAGGATGGAATGGAAAAAGAGAATCCATTTAGTTCATTCATATGGGAGTCATGGGACGAAGACAAGGAAGATGATGTTGGTGGTTTGGTGAGTCAGCTAGTACCTGAGATAACTTCAAATCAATATTAATTGACTGGAGATATTTAAAATAAATTAGATCAATGGTAATAAATAGAAATAATCATTTTTTCCCCTTGTTGTAACTTTGATTTTTCTTCTCGACACTAATTATTTGATCTGCTTTTCACCTTGACATCAATCAGGGATCAGGGGAAACTAGTAAAGATGATTGTTCAAACAGTGTTGTTGGAGTTAAAGAAAAATTGTATGGTTTTAACTGACAACTTGGTTGGAATCAATTATCATGCACATCAAATGATGAGATTATTAAAGGTTGCTTCAAATGATACACGGATTGTTGGTATCCATGGCATGGGAGGTATTGGCAAGACAACTATTGCCAAGTGGATGTACAAGAAGCTCATCAAGTACTTTGAATGTTGTAGTTTCCTTGCAGATATTCGAGAAACAGCACAACAACACAAAAGTCTTGTTAGTTTGCAAAAACAGCTTCTTGCTAGCAGTACTCCTAAATCATGCCATGATATTGTTGATGTCGATGGTGGAATCAACATTATTAAACAACGATTTCTTAAAAAGAAAGTTCTCATTGTTCTTGATGATTTAAGTGAAAAGTATCAATTTGATTGCCTTGTGGGAAATCATAATTGGTTTGGTCCAGGAAGCAGGATTCTAATTACAACTAGAGACAAGCATGCTTTAAATGCTATTCAAGTGAATGAAGAATATGAACCCCCATTTATGAATTCTGTGCAATCACTTCAGCTTTTTAGTATGCATGCCTTTAGAAGGAAGTTTCCTCCAAAAGACTATGACGACATCTCTAGAAAGGTTGCATCCACTGCTGCAGGGCTTCCTCTAACTCTTGAGGTTATCGGTTCGTTTTTGTCTGACAAGACGAAAGTGGTATGGGAAGATACATTGAAGAAATTGAAAAAAATACCAGCAGATCAAGTCCAGAAAAGATTGAGAATAAGTTATGATGAATTAAACCATGAGCAACAACAGATATTTCTCGATATTGCATGTCTTTTTATAGGGATGGATAAAACACATGCATTTTACATGTGGGATGACTGTGGCTTTTATCCAGAGATGGGAATTAAGGTTCTTTGTTTCATGTCTCTAGTAAAAATGGGAGATGATAATGTGTTGAGAATGCATGATCAACTTAGAGATCTCGGAAGGGAAATCGTCCGTCAAGAAGATCTCAAGAATCCTGGAGCACATAGCAGGTTGTGGGATCAGGAGGAAGCGCTGGATGTACTGAAGGGATGTAAGGTAATACTACAGTGAACTAAATTTTATGCCCCTTAGTTGATTAATGTTTTCTTGACCCTGATTCTTGTAATCCCATAATACACATACACACACAAGTGAATTTAATGGTAGCATCCACATGAGTGCCAATCATGGAGCTACTTGGTTGACCAATTTGATATTTGATGGGCTTACGTGACTCTTAGATTGGGTTTAAATTGAAAATTTTAGGTACCTCAGTTTAGTTTGTCCTCGGGTATGGATTTCTAGAAACCTGAAGCCAACCAAGTCTAATCATGTCATTGTTGCTACTAATACTGCTATGAACTTGAGTCCAACATAATCTTAGATAGACTTGGGTGCTAGACAAACAACCCAAGGCCAATTGAATCTGACCGGAACTTAAGTTGAGCTCAAAAAATTAAATTATTAGTTTCTTCATTTTTAATTTCAAAATTTGTGTAAGTAAAGCATAATTCTTTTTGTTTTAGCACGCAAAACAATTGGTTCCTGAAAGTTTACTTATAATGTGGTTTTTCATTGACAGGGAACAGAAAAGGTCAATGTCCTGAGTGTTCACTTTAGTAAGGAGATGGCTCAGTCTGACCTTACAAGTGAGGAATTTGCTAAACTATATAATCTAAGGTATCTTCAAGTGAATCGGGTAAAAATTTCTGGGGATTTTAAGCAGCATCTATCACAATTAAGATGGCTTTGTTGGACCTATTGCCCTCTTGAATTTAAAGCAACCAATTTCCATACGAAGAATCTAGTCATTCTTGACGTATCAAACAGTTTTGTCACAGAAAAATGGAAGGGTTGGAGTCAAATTAAGGTTTGTGGAACATCTCTACTTTTTTGTTTCATTTCTTGTTTCCCATCATAATATACATGTTCTAAATTGATCGATATATCTTTTTAACAGGAAACAAATAAGTTAAAAGTTCTAGTGCTGGCTAATTGTGATTTAAGCAGAATTCCGTACTTCTCAAGTTATGTAAATTTAGAGATACTGGATCTTAAAGGTTGTGGTAATTTTGTCAAAATTAACCCATCCATTGGTAATATGAAGAACTTGAAAGTGCTTAAAATTTCAATGACTCTAATAAAAAAGCTACCTGATGAAATTTGGATGTTAGAGAAGCTGGAAGTTCTAGATGCCTCATATTGTAATGCCTTGGAGGGTAACATTCCTAGTTGTGTTGAGCGATTATCATCTTTGAGAGAGTTGAAGTTTGATTGTACCAAAATTCAAAGCCTACCAACAAGCATTTGCAAGCTCTCTTGCCTCCAAACCCTTGACTTGAAAGACTGCGAAGAGCTCCAAGCACTGCCAGACCTTCCCTCCAGTTTAGAAATTCTGAGAGCCGATTGCCCCAAGCCTAGAGAGTTGCTTGTTACCCCAAATCTTGTAAATCTGATTAATCTAAAGGAACTGCGGTTTTCCTGGTGCATTAGGACCCTACCAAAAGAGATGGGTGCCTTTTCTCAGCTCGAAATCCTGACTATAAATTATTGCAATGATCTTCAATGTATATTGGGGTTACCCTCGAGTCTGGTTGTATTATCAATTGAAAGTTGTCCGTCATTGGAAATATTGCCAGATCTGTCAAATTTGAAAAATTTGTTGGAATTGGAGCTTAAGCATTGTGATAAGCTGATGGAGATTCAAGGGCTTGGGGGACAAGAGTCATTGAAAAGATTACACATAGAGGGCTGTGATACCTTGAAAGAGATTCAAGTGCTTGGAAATCTAAAATCTTTAGAAAGCTTGCACATAGAGGACTGTGATATGCTGAAAAGGGTTCAAGGACTTGGAAGTCTAAAATCCCTGAGAAGTTTGTCTATAATTTGGTGCGAGAAAATAGCTACACTTAATTTGCTTGAACGTTTGGCATCTCTACCATCCTTGGAGATGAATGAGTATAAACATCTTGGAAATAAATCAGCTCGGTCGAACTTAAACAAGTTAAAGACATTAGATGTTTCGGATTGTACGAAATTAAAGAAGATCCAAGGACTAGATAGATTGAAATCATTGGAAAAGTTGACCTTAACTGGTTGCAAATCCATTGTAAGATTACCCAATCTGTCAAACTTGAAAATGTTGAGATGCTTACAACTTAACGAATGCACGAGGTTACGTGAGATTGAAGGACGCGAGGCTTTGGAAGCCAGGTTGGAGGAACTTGATGTCAGAGAGTGCACATCACTGGAACAAGCACCCCATCTGCTAAACCCAAATATTCGAAGACAAAACTCAGGTATGGTTGGAAATTATTTATTTATTTATTTATTTTTGGTGGATGATGGTGGTGTTGGACCTCTTAGAACACCCCATAATCCACCACCGGGCAAATGTAGTCCCCCCATCCAACATGCACCGGGCAGATATCGGGAAAATCCCCCGGGGGTGGCCCCTATGGGATTTGAAATGGTTGGATTTCTTTCATATGGTGGTTTGGATTACAATAATTTTTCTAGTAAGAGGGATCTTCCATGGTTGCTAGTTTCTAATCATTTCTTTCTATTTATCAATTCAGGTAATGGTTTGACACAAGCTCTATTGTTCATGTTGTTTATCGGTACCCTGAGCATGATTATGAATATAAGAAAGGGTAAATGGCCTCGTGAGAACAATCAAAATATTAGCTTTCTGGAGGATCATCAAAAGTTGGTTAGGCTTGTTTCCTTTTCACTGTTATCATGACAATGCTTAATAATGGCCTCAAATTCATTTTTATTCACTTTGTCGCATAGTTTCCTCCACCATACATATCACATACTTGTTATTTTATTATTATCTATTTTAATATCTGTTGAAAGGTTCATTTAAATTTTCAATGTATTGATAATATTTTCTTGTCATTTCAAATCTAAATTAAATTTTAAATTACATTTGCATTGGAATATCCATACTCAAAACAAATTTTAAGTACCATATTCACACAACCTTTTAGAGAGTCTCTGTCTTTACAAAACAGAGGGGTCTTCTAAATTTTTTCTTGAGATATGGAGAAAATATGTTGGTGGCCCCAATTCCTATAGATATTTTTATTTTTATGTCGTTGTGAAAATAGGCATTTTGCATTTTTTTGTGGACGTCATTAGTCACAAAGGTTGTAGCCTAGTGGTATTTCCTCACCTTCCAGAGTGGAAGGTCTAGAGTTTAAGTTCCTATAGGGGAAAGTGGGTGTATAAGTGTGTTCTTGCCAAGGTAAAATAATAATAATAATAATTGGTAACCTTGTTATTTATTTATTTGGAAGATTAGTCATGATTCTTTCTTATGATCTACAAACCACTAATGGCACTTGGAAACTGATATTCATGAATATTCCTTGTAAAATCATGTGATAGTATCATCTTAAATTACTATTTTTTAATTGTTCATCTAAATTGCAAAGTTTTCCAAATTCTGGTAGGAGAATCTTTTAATATGCTAAAGATTGTTCTAGCTTTCTTGAATTTCCTCCATGTCTCATACTTTCTTTAAATGTTTAGTTATGGTAATTTAATATATGTGATGACAACCAGATTTTTTCTTTTCCTTGAATTCCCTATTTTTCAATTTAAAAATTAAAAATTACCTAATTTATTTCACCAGTGAAGGGTTTTTTTTTAATATTATTTTAAAAAAACCATGGTAAGAAACTCACACACCCCTTTTTTTGTCCTTGGTGAGACTTAACCCTCGACCTTAGAGGAGATACCACTAGGTTACAACATTTGATGGTTCCTAAAGATTCTTGTTAAAGAATTGGAAAATTGGAAGTCAATGTGTTCCATTTTTCGAAGATTTGGGACTCCTAAACGATATAAAATGAATTGGAAAATTGGAAGTCAATGTCTTGTTAATGCATTTAGTAGTACTGTAGTAGCAAACAGGGATGTCAACAATTATAGTAGTGTTTAGTAGAATAGACACAATACAATATAAACCGATAAGGTTAGATTGTACAAGTTTATTAGGGATTTGATGATTAAAGCATTTGGACATGCTCTGTTTCTATTGTTCAACTAATTTCAAGTTGTTTGCTTGTGTTGGAAGTGTATTGATTCCCACTTTGTCACTATTTGTATTTTCACATTGCAGGAAAAATGATAGAGATGAAAGATTCAAAGGCTGCAACTAATATGGTACTTGGAGGTGTATCAATCCCATGCCCTCTTGATTTATGTTCTGATATTAACATAATTATTGAAGTTATGATGAATCGGGTTATTTTTGCCCAATATTCCCTAATTTAATTTGAATGAGGCCATGGCCTCAAATAGAGCAGAATGGAAACATAGGATTCTTGTTGCTTGATCCCAAGTAATTGGAAAAAAGCTTGGTTGTTGTTTTTATATTCTCTAATTTGATTTAATTTAAGTAATTGATGTTAATGCACGATATACTATTTACTTAGTTTAGTTTCTACATTCATTTATGCAGGCACTCTAAGATATGTCAGATGAAATTTGAGTTGAAGTGTACAGGTTGAGGATGAAGCTACAACATAAGAATTATGGAAGTAATGACAGCTTGCATTATGGAAGCAGATGGGCCTAGAAGATATATATATATATATATATATATATATACAAAATCATGACAAGAATAATTTATGAAGTTTGTAATAAATTGTACAAAAAATACTTGGGTTTGGCATTTTAAATATCAGTTTATTGGTTCACTCTCCGTACTTTCTCTTCCTCATGTAAAATTTTCTGCAACTCACAAATTTATTTTGTATGAAGTAAATATATGAAGTGATTGTGAAACCATATCAACAAAATAATTCCCTCATTGGCGTCAGCATACTGATTAGTCAGTATAAGGCCCAATGAACAACCTCCCACGTGTTGCTGTCCTATTGGTGTGGCATGCTGGCTGCAGCCACATAGCCCACATTACACGTGTTGCTCCTTTATTCGCCATCACCTGCAAAATAGGGTGTGCCATTTTAGATTTTAACGACACCAGTATGTCTTGATTCCCCTTCTACACCTGGACCTTTGATCAAGATTTTAGGCACTAATTTTAAGCAAAGAATAAACCCAAAAACCTTTCGAGCCCTGGTAGCGCCACTAGCCGGTCGCCCTGCTAGTGACAGTTGCCCCAAAGCGGCTATCGTTCCCCACTCGTCTTTTGTGACCTTCAGTGATTGGTTGAAAATCAATTACAACTTTTACCCTAGCACTCCTCAACTTTCGAGAGTTTGGCAACGAGGAGAAGAGTAGACCATAACCACTAATCAAAAAAAAAAAAAACAAACATAACCATGGTTACCAACTATACAAGAGAAAATGCACATGGATTGCTTGCCTTGGCATAGTCTCTCTCTCACTCTTGCTCTATATATATATATATATATATATTTGAATAAGCACACGCATAACAAAGAATGTGACAACATAATATAGTTACCCAATAATTTCTCCTAATCAAATCGACTCTCCTTCCCTCCATATATCTCTCTTGTTGGGACTTGAATTCATCTAATCAAATCGATTTTCTGGCATATATTGTGGTCGATGTTGAAGCAACGGATCATTTAGCTCAGGGATACATTTCTCTTCTAATCCAGCAATACATTGAGGTTTTAGGGCTCACCAGTAGTCATTGCAGGAACATGAACCATTTTTGAAATGATGGAAGCGGTTGCGATCCCGGACAACAATTTCTCTGTTGTAAACCTTCGATATCATTTTTGTGGCATTGTGACAATCTGTACATACTCTAAGATTCTTTGATATTCTGATTGTAGTCCCTGGTGTAGTCCTAATGAGGCCAAAGGCAATAGCCAATTTCTCACTATGGTGAGATATCGAAGCTTCCTTATCATCTTGCTCTGCCTCTAGTCTTGCCTCTTCGATGTTGGGCACATAACCAGCCGACTTGATTCGCTTCATCATATTCTCGGTTGCATCATAAATATCCTCCAGCTCTGGATGTACATTGTCTTCTGCAAAAAACTCGTGAATGACTCCATCACACTCGATCACACTACAACCAGGTGTCTTTCGTATTCCCTTCTCTTTCATTCGAGTCCTCACCTTCAATGCGTCCTCCAACCTGCCGACAGATGCATAAATAGCTGATAGAAGTATGTAATCCCCGCTATGTGTAGGCTCCAAATTGACAACCTGCTTCAGTGATTCTTCCCCAATTTCAACATTTTTATGAACCTTGCACGAAGCCAACAACGTTCTCCAAACAACAGCATTGGGTTTAATAGGCATGTTTTTTATGAATTGATACGCCTCTTCCAGCAATCCAGCTCTACCAAGAATATCAACCATGCAACCGTAATGCTCAATCCTCGGTTCAATACCAAAATCTCTACTCATATTGACAAATAAACTCCGACCCTCATCAACCAAACCTGCATGACTACAAGCACAAAGGACAGCTATGAAAGTTACATCATTTGGTTCAATATTCTGTTCCAGCATCAAATAGAAGAACTCAAGAGCCCTGCGTCCTTGTCCATTGTTTGCAAGACCTTGAATTAGCACCGTCCAAGTCAAGACATTTTTCAAAGGCATTCTTTTGAAGACTTCAACTGATCTGTCTATAGACCCACATTTTGCATAAAAATCCACTAATGCAGTTCCGAGGTTAACAGTGAGCTTCAATCTCTTCTTCTTTATGTACGAATGTACCCACCTACCAGTTTCTAGGGCCCCTAGTACAGAACAGGAAGCAAGAACACTGACCATAGTAATCTCGTTGGGTTCCACATTAGCCTTTTGCATGTCATGGAATAGATCAAGAGCTTCTCTACATTGATATGTTTGGCTATAACCAGAGATCATGGCACTCCAGGCAACAACGTCCCTCCGAGTCATCTGATCAAACAAACTCCTTGCAGCATCTACACGACCGCATTTTGCAAACATATCAACAAGAGAAGTAACTAAAGTAGGATTACCCTTTAGTCCATTTTCCTCTATATACTTACTGATCCATTCCCCCAACTCTAAATCAGCCAACCTTCCACACGCGGTCAAAACACTAACCAATGTGACCTCATCAAACCTAACATCCAATTCCAGCATTTCATGAAACAACTTCACAACCTCTCCCCAATACCCACTCTTGGTGTACCCTGAAAACATCGAATTCCACGCCCTAACACCCCTTTCAGACATTCCATCAAACACATGGCGGGCAACCTCAACTTCGCCACAATTTGCATACATGTGAATCAAAGTGTTCTCGACAAACCCATGAGATCCAAATCCGCATTTCGTGATCTGGGCATGGATTTGTTCACCTTCCTTCAAAGCCCGTAATCTAGAACAAGCTTTCAAAATGCAAGGGAAAGTGAATTCATCTGGTGCAACCGAGTTTTCGCACATTTGCTTGAACAAAAGAATGGCTTCGTGCGGTGATTGCTTCAATGTGAAGCCTCTGATCATGATATCATAAGCTGGTGATCTGGGTTCGTTGAGATTTCGGAAAATCGAGAGTGCGTAGTCCATGGATTCTGGGAGAATTATGGCTGCGGATTCGAGGAGGTTTTCGGCAATGAGCGGGTTGTGAAGAAGGCGGGTTTTGATCAAGTGGGCGTGGATTTGATTGAGGTCTTTTATGGTCTTGCATTGTTCAAGGATTAGGGTTTTAGGGTTCTCTGGAAATTGAGTGATGACAGTTGTGGCAGTTAAGGTTTTGGCGGGAGAGAGGGGAAGAGCAAAGCCCATTTTGGGATTTGAATGGCTGAAAGAATAAGCTCAAAGACAATATAGGTTCTTATTTTAAGAGTTGAACTCAACTAGTAATTGTTGGGCTATAAGAAGAAGTGTTTACAAGGACCCGGACTACACGTCACCAATTAGAACCCACATACAAATAAATATGTCAAAATTATTCAATTTTTTACTTACGAGTCAATTGCGATAATATCTTGGTTAGAAAGTTGTCCTGTGATTCAATATTCAAAATATGTTATTTTTGAATAATTTTATAATTTTAAAATCAATGTCTTAATTTCGTGTGAATACAGTTGGCACGTGAATTCTCTCTAATTGAGTGCGAAATCAAATTTATTTAAAAAAATGATATAAGTTTTATAGCGGATTGTCTGTCTAACATTATCACACCTCCATTTCACATCATTCTAATATGAAACCAACAAAAGTTTTTCACATCATGTCTTTTATATTGATTTGGAAATATAAATATAAGAAACTTATTTTGTGGTGTTTCTTCAATGTACAAGAAATTTGATAAAAATTTTCAGAATAAAAATTGCTAATCGCGTTAAGTGAGTGAGTTAAATAGTTTAAAAGAATTTTTTTTATACATCTGATTATCAACTTAGATTTTGTTAGTTGAAAAAAAAAAAAAAAAAAAAAAAAAATCCTATTAGTGATGCGAAAGTATACATTGATATGTGTCAATTGCATATACAAATTGAATCTATTATTCAGAGTATTTGAAACTCTTTTAATTAGAGTATACAAATTGTTATGGGTTCGGACCTTGACAAGCTCCCTGACAGTCATGGAATGCTGTCAAAGTGCATAGTGCAATGAAATTTGAAATTAAAAATTATGGGAACTTTCTTGAAGTCCAAGAAGGCCTATTGCTGAAGATGGATTTAGATTTGAACATCTAGAGAATTAATTTTATCCATTATGATTCCTCAGACACAAACTGTAGATTTTACTTTTTATACTTTTGGCTTAGTGCCATCCCACGCTAGGGGATTTGTATACAAAATCGACCCGTGACACAAACCATCACAAATATAAACAGTACATTATTTTCATTTGTACATATTGTTGTTGTGAAGGAACTTACCCAATTATACACAATCTCTGTACTGAGCTCTTTTATTCCTGTTTATGAAATTTCAGCTCAGCAATCGTACTTTAATATGCAATTGAGGAGAGTTGAACCAAATGTGCTCATCTACCACTATACTTTCCCTCCATCCAAACAACATCAAGAAAAAAAATATCTCAGAGAGAATCCACCCAAATGAGGTCTCTGTTTAATGTTATCAACATCAACACTAAAAGAAAAAGAAAAAAAAAAAAAAAAAAAAAAAAAAATTCTGATAAACTGAAAATGGAATTCATAACAAATTAGCATAATGCTGCACCTAACCATAAAGATATCAAAATTGTGTCACTCCTGATGAGGAACATCAGCTTCTTTAAATCTCTTGGAAGAGATCTGCTTGAACAAACTTCTCAGGCTATTCTTACTCTCCTTTCGCCTCTTATTAATCCGAATTGTGTCCTCCAAGCTAGAGTGGTGGTCCAACACCAGCCCTTCCTCTAACCTCTTGGACACTGCCACTATTTCATAGGAGTCCAAAAGTGACTGCCCAAAATCCCAGTTTGCGACGCCATGGTCCTTAGCCGATGATGGCTTGCTCATGGCCTCGAGCTTGAATCTGGTGGGCTTGCTCTTGAAATTTAGCCTACGTGCATCAAATTCGTTGGTGGCTCTGGGTGGACTAGTGCTGGAGTGACCCTGCCACGCCTGTGCCACGGCCTTGAGGATTTCGAGTTCATGCTCATCATCTTCAAGCTCTGGTTTTTTCTTCATAGTCTTTTCTATGAGTGAGGCTTGTAGTTGTAGATAGAGGCCATGTTATTTAGGCAAATTGGAGCCTCACATTAAGAAAGCTGTTGCAATCTATTTCCATTTCCCAATTTTTTTTATTTTTTTATTTTTCCTGAGAATTTCTATGGGGAGCTGATGAATATGGTCCTTTAAAATTGTCTGGATTCAAGGATAAATGTGTCAATTATTTTAATTATTCTGTCATTTTGCTAAGGTGTCATTGTTCAACGCAAGTTAAAAGTAAGTATAAGAATGTGGGTTCAAATTTGAAAACTAGTGCAAAATAATTCCAGGGACTGACTAGTTCTGTTTCCACCATATATTCTTTCAAACACCTGCTTTGACAAAACAATGTTTCATTTTGTTTTTACCTAAACAAGGTGCAAATCTTAAAAGTGGATTATGTCATATTCTTAATAATGCAAATCTTTTAAGGGAGATGATAAATGCACTTAATTAGTGTTTTTTTTAAGTGAAGTGTCAATAAAAATAATAATAATAAATACAGAATGTGCTAATACTTTTCAGGTGTTCAAATAAAATTCATACATTTTTCAAATTGAGCAAATAAGGAAATTTTTTTAATTTGAGAACTGAAATGTCTTGTGAAAATTGGATTTTTTTTTCTTTTTCTCCATTTTCTTTTTTGTTCATTTTCGTGTTCGAATCATGTGGGCTTGAGTCGGGTCAAGTTATCGGAATGGTCTCGATGCTTCTCGTTTACTTCATTGGGGTATAGTTGTCATTCATATCATCTTGTGGATCATGTTTTATGTTTACACATGTATGTGTTTATTGCTTCATTTGGGGCCTTAGCAGAATTTTGTGAGAGTAGTGGGTCCCCCACTTTGACTTTTGGGTGATAGACAATTGTGTGATAGGAGTATATGCGTGTGTTTTGTGTGCGGGTGAGAGAAGGCAAGACATCTCTATTCTCTGCCCCTCATTTGGCGGGTCAACTCTATTACCTTCTCTCCCAATTGTTTTTTTGTTTTTTCTTCTTCTTTCCTTCCACCTTCAAGTCTCAATTCCACGTCCTTCCACCATGATTTCGACTTGCTGTAGAAGGAAAAAGTGACGGGCTAACTAGAACTATCACCCTATGATTTTAGTTTCATAATTGGAGCAATTTGGATTTGTGAATGGGGGCTTGAGTTTAGATTTTGGAGAGGCCATAAGGGGATTTTATACTCTGCTGTCCATCCTCTTCAACCCTACGGAATTTGTTTCGATTTTGAAACATTTTTTACTAAAAATTTCTAGGGTTTACTCCTAGAATTGAGGTAGAAGTGTGTTATGACCATGATTCGTAGTCGCGGTATTGGTCACGCTATAACATAATCGGACCTATATTGACATTCCGTAACAGTATATGTTATTACAATTGTGAATATTTTTTTTTAATTTTGCACATAAGGCTCAAAATGCAGTACAATTTCTTTCAACATAATTGAATAAAGATGATTTTTTAGTGAATTTTTAACTACCATTTAGCATGAATAATCATTTATTTATATATTGTAAGTCAATGTATTTATTTTTAAAAAAAAAAAAATTAGTAATTATATATTTTTATTAATTCAATGGATAGTAAAAAAAAAAAAGAAAAATTGATTGATGAGGGCATTGCTGGTATTTTTCATGTTTGATATTTTCTTATATTTTTTAATAAATTAATTAGTGAGAATATATTTGTAACTGTGGCCAAAACGCAGCCTTGGGTAACTCCAAGGGTAACAATGCTGCGAAAAATAGTTGAGGGGTATTTTGTAACTTTTAAATAGTTTAGGGGGATTTTAGGAACTTTAATCTAAGAATTAATGGATTAATTGTGCAAAATACCCATAACACCATTCCTATTTTTAAACACCCCTCTGCTAATAATGATTTGGTTCCAATAGGTCCATTCCATATTCAGGTACTCATGTTAAAAAAAAAAAAAATGACAAAAGACTATACAACGGTCGTGTCAGTGTCCCTTTGCCTCCAAAAGGATATAGTGAAGTCCACGGACTTCTCGTTCAGCGTTTCCCTCTGCTCTCTACAGTTCTCATTTATGATGAGGTTCCTAGTGTTTTCTTAGTTACTTTCCATTTTTGTAGTTTTCCATTTCAGATTTGAAGTGTTGTTACTAATGGTCTAGCGATATCAAGTTTTTATTTTTAAAAAATAAATCAGGAGTTGGAGTTTCAACATATATTTGAGTACCAACAACAAAAAGAAAAAAACACAATGAGTGTTGTCCGTTTATCACCAAAAAGTCCACGTCCATGGCAGCAAATCTAAATCCAAATCCAAACCACAAAAACGAAACATTCAATCAATTAATCATTAATCACCTAAAAACCCAAATCCATGGCAGCAAATCCAAAGTGGTTGATCATACAAAGAAAAAAAAAAAGAAAAGAAAAAGACTGATCAGAAGAAGCCAGTCAAAGAAATACATAAAAAAGTTCATCTCTCCTAGCGTGTGGGCTTTCATCATTAGAATCAGAATCAGAGTGAGAGCAGCCACTTCCGTTGCCTTGTGCTTCATCGTGATCATAATCATCATCATCAGAGTGAGAGTCAGAGCAGGCACTTTCATTGCCTTGTTCTTCATCGTGGTGTTGTGGGAAGTCATCATCATCGCGAGAATCAGAGTCAGAGCAGGCACCTCCATTGCATTGTGCTCTATATAGCGTGATCTCACTTTCGGAGTCAGAGTCAGAATAGTCAGAGCAAGCACTTGCATTGAATTCATCAAACCCATCCTTCCAACTTATCACATCTTTCTCGTACACTAGACGCACTCCCCACTTCCTTTCCGGCGTCCTCTCGAATTCACCATACACATGTAGGAAAACCTCAAATTGGCACAATTCGTTTAGACTCTTACCCCGAGGAACCTTAATGGTACGATTTGAAAAAAATGTCAGCCAAATATGTCCGGAATCAACTTTCGTACCTTTGGGCATCCCACAATATTGCGAGGCAGCAAGATATGATTTATTATTATGGTCTACAAACCGGGTAAAGATACGACAGGTTGTGTTTTCAGTTAGGAACTCAAAAACAACGCACACGGCAATCCCCAAAATTCTCTCATACCAATCTGGAGGCAGTTGCACAGATGCTTTTTTACCCCAATGCCGATGCCTGAACCACTCTGGAATCTCTCTTCCCGGTAAAATAATTTTCAACTTAGCCACTATAGGACGGTTTCTCTGTACCAAGAAAACATGTCATTGATTCATATATGTGTGTGTGCGTGTGTGTGTATATATATATATACATGTGCATATATATATAGAGGAGAGAGAGAGTAACCTGAATCGCAAATTGCAGCGCAAACATCAGCAACATATCAACCATCTTTTCACTCCCTTTATTCTGTAACAGCTTAAAGCAATTACTGAATGCAACCAACCCCAGCGATCTGTCATACTTTGTAGACAGATCTCCAATGCTTATTAATGATTGGCAATCATCTGCACGTAATATAAAAATACTTGATGGAAGCTCTGGTAATGCTTTTAGCCTCTTACAGCCTTCTACAACTAGGGTTTTAAGTTGAGAAAGTCGGGAGATGCTTGCAGGTAAACTAACAAAACTGTTTCTGCTTAAATTCAACTTGATCAAAGAGGCTAAGCTGCCAAGGTCGTTGGGGATCCCTCCTTCAGACAGATTGCAATCACTAAGATCAAGTTCTGTTAAGGAATATAAACCTGTTAAAGAAGGAAGCACCAAACACACAGAATCTTCACGTTTCCTTGGTAAAAACCAAGAGGATGACTGTGTCAACATTGTTCCCCTGCATCCACTAAGGGATAAGACTTTGAGCTCTTTCAAAAGAGTAATGGAGGATGGTAGTCGTTTGATGCCAGTTTTATTTGCGTGAAGCTCCACTAAACATTTTAAATTTCCCAGGCGTTCTGGCAATTCCTCAAGTTTTGAGCAGCCAGAGAGTTTGAGAGTTTTCAGACAGCTCAACCCACAAATGTTTTCTGGAAGACTTGAAAGGTTTTTGCATTCACTCAAATCCAACAAAGTAAGGCTAGTGAGATGTTCAATTGATGATGAGGGAACTTCTTTTATGGCAGTTCTATCCAAATAAAGTTCTGATAGATGTACCATATCCCACAAGATTTCTGGAAACTTTTCTAATTTCAAGAAGCCTGATAGAATAAAAGTCTCAAGATATTTTGAGTGAATACTGCTTGGAAATTTCTTAAGATTTGTGCAATCTCTCAAATTTAATAAAACAAGCCTTTTGAGAGCTCCAAGGGATGGGTGAACCTCCTCCAAACTAATACAATCCTCAAGAATCAGGGTCGTCAGCTTTGGAACGACTGTGAAGTCTGGGGTCCTAGATAGCCTATGGGAGTGACTGAGGTTGATGACTTCCAACTTGGGCAGAGGCTGTTGAAAGAAATGGAAAATATTAGAATAACCGACTCTCACGAGCATGACACTATTCAATAAAGTTATAATACATACTATTGATCATACCTTTATTTCCTTCCAAAGTTGTACAATGCGGCTATAACTCATTTTGAGTTCAACAAGATTTTCTGCCCGAAAACTTGCTGGCAGATAGCTTGAAGGGTATGCATGCCAATCAAGCCACTTCAACTTATTTGAAAGATGTGCAGGACCACTAGAAAACAACACATTGTGCAATATGAGCACCCTTAATTTGGTCATCTTTGTGAAGGCTTCCGTACTGCAGTCAATATCTTCCGGTGCAAAGAGTTCCAAGACTATGCCTTTAACTTTTTCTGTCCCCTAACAACCAGTAACACAAAGCATGAAACTGTGGCCTCTTCAATAAACTTTAACGTAAAAGAAACGTTTTTTTATTTTATTTTTTAACCAAAAAAAAAAAAGCCATCTTACCTTATTTTCTGCCAACACTGAACGAATATCCTTAGGGCGCCACAACCTGCTACGTTTTCCGGCTTCCTCAGGAGATTCTTGATCAACAATATACCAACCCATTCCTTGTATCAAATCATGCATACAAAGCCTATTTTCTGAAATAGTTATGAGAGACTTTTCTATAAGAACAGGCATTTCAATCCCTGGGAAGAAGCCGCAACTCTCGAGTATTCTTTCTACATAACTCTTGTCTTCCCCTTTGTAGAAGCATGCAATATCAAGGAAAATTTCCTGCTGCATTTCATCTAGTCCGTCGAAACTGATTTTAAGCACTTGAAGAATTTCCTTGTTAGGAATTTTGTGCAGCTTACTCATTGTGCTTTTCCATTCATGAGTTGTTCTACCATGTAGAAAAGAACCCAAAATTATAAGAGCTAATGGAAGCCCACGGACATAATCTACTACCTGGTTTGAGAGCTCCAAATAACCTTCAGAAGGAAATCTTTGATGAAATGCTTTCCAAGAAAGGAGCTGGAGAGCTTCACCACATTCCAATGCCTTCACATTGTATATTTTAGTCACTCCATAAGTGGTTAGCAGATGTTCATCTCTTGTTGTTATGATGATTCTACTCCCAGAACCAAACCAATCAACCTTTCCTAACGCTTGTAGTTGTTCTAGTTGATCCACATCATCAGCAACGACAAGAACTCGTCTGTGACATAGCCTGTTCTTTATCATATTTAGTCCTCTACAAACAGATGTAATCTTTATATTACTTCGATATAAGATATCTGAAAGTAGTCGTTTCTGTAAAGCTTCCAAACCTTTCTTTTTTGAGAATTCTCTAACATTTGCAAGAAAGCATCTACCGTCAAACTGTTGGGAAATCCGATCAAAAACAGCCTGGGCAATAGTCGTCTTTCCTATGCCCCCCATTCCCCATAGACCTATAGAGTGAACATCATTCAACTCCATATGTAACAATGATTTCACTTCCTCCACACTGGACTCTATCCCAATCAGATCATCAGCAACAATTGGAATTAAATGGTTCAGTTTACTGAAAATATCTTCAATAATTTGTTGGATACATCTTGACTCATACCTGTAAAGTTAGAAAGTTGCCTATATGGTGAGTTGGAATAAATCATAATGAGACAAAGAAAATTAATAGATGTTGTGATAGTTAAATTTTGTTTTTGCAACTAAACATACACAAATTGATTACAAATTGGATGGTTCGGAGTAATGGATAGAACAATAGATCGAAGTGTATTGACACCAACGCTGACCTGGTTCACACACTAGATATCTTACTTTGGTAAGTACATTGATTACATATTAAAAAAGTACCTCTGGTCTTCCCAAATATTGAACACCTTGTCCTGAAAAACTGAAAAGAATTGTTATATGCCTTTCAGGTTTGAAGGTACTATTTGAGACCTTTCAAAAGACAGTAGAATAGCATACTTCTGGATAGAATAAACAAAATTGAAGTTTATCCGAATGTAGGTCTAGAAATTCAAGTGTTGAATGATTTAGTATTAGGAATTACAATTGAGTTCAAGTGACTTAAAGAAACCATGGAGAGAAAAAACTTGTGTTTGAGATCCCCTTTTATAAATACTAGTAAAATGGATATGTTCAATGCACGTGACTAAAACCTTACAAAATCATGAGAAATTTTAATTTTAAACCAGCTGTAGGACAGTCATTATATACAAAATATATATAAATATATACATAACATTAATTTATGTTAGTTCAAATTTGACGGTTTCTAATCATAAGAAGAATTTATAACAGTGGATCATCATAACTATTTCTGGAGAAAGGATAATGGACAAACAAAAAATTGAGAGAGTGGAGGAAAACTATAGAGATTTTCATTCAAATAGTATAACTATAATGTAAGAAGCAAGGATATCAGGTCCAATCAACATCAAGATTTTTTTGTTCTTTGATAAATGCAATAGACATCAACATTAAACCTGTGATCTTTCTTTTGAACTAAGAATAGAAGTTCCCTATGCCCCCTCTCTCTGTACAGATAAATATAAATAACTAGCAACATGTTCTCCCATTTATATATTATTCCCCTAAAGTCTACACATCTTCTAAAAGTTCTTCTCCACTGTTATTTGGTCAATTGCATTTAAAGGCATTCCATATTTCTAATTTAGGCTTATATTTTGTTTATGAAAATTCTTGTTGGGGTTATAACAGGGTTCCAAGGAATTATAATCCTTGTCCAACAAAGAATTATAATCCTTGGTTTAGGACTCTATATAGATACTTAGGTTATGAGCTGAGACTTTTGAGATTGAGAGAGATGCAACTCGTGAGGCAGCTGATGGATGTGTGAGGGTCTCTGGTCCTCTACATCACACAGCCCCTACAGATGTGGTTAGCGGTTAGTAGAATGGATGGAAGGACAAAGTCTCGTGGAGCGGTACATGTGAAAAGCTCGGGTATTGACCACCAGACCCTAAAGTGGGAGGTAGGTACACAGTCCGGTATTGGCCGGGTATTCTCTACCGTTGTAATTTATTTTACCAAAAAAAAAAAAAAAAAAAAAAAAACTATAGTGAAATCAATATTATCCTAGACGTAGGGCAGTTATGCCAAACTAGTAAAACCTTGTGTTCTTATGAGATTGGTTTATTATTTGTTCTTGGATCTCCATGTGTATTCATTTCTGCTGTCCCAATAGTTTGGTTAGGCTTAGCAGCTTCCTTCTACTATTTTTTCCATTTAAACTCTAGAAGAATAAGGTAATATTTTGATCCCCACCTCCAACTATTTGATTTTAGCCTTTTGCTTGAAATTTTTCTCTTCAGCTAATCCAGAATAATCCGTGATAAAAATGGACATATACATACACAAAACACACACACTTGTATATACTATAAACATACAATACAAAATGGATATGTTGTCACTTGGCAAGAATATTTTGTTATAATATTAATATGAACAAATTTTAGAGTTTTTGATTGTTTTAGTTTTTGATTTGGATAACATAATAAAAAAGGATTCAGTTTCAAATGAATTCCATGCTTGATCTTAACAATAGAATTCTAGTCAAGTGAAATTCCAATCCAAATCAATTCCTATTTTTTTATGTTTAAATTCATAATGCATAATGAGATTGAATAAAACAGCAAAAGGCTAACTAGAAAATAAAAGTATACTGAATTTCTGGAGATTACCCATTTGCTGTATCCTGTACATTATGTCCGGCTATATTGGCTGTTTCTTCAAGAGCTGTCTTCCATCTCTGCACCTTCTGCTGCATCTTCCCATCGAAACCTTCCTCATGTTTTTTAAAAGCTGCTGCAAAGCTCCCTGTTTGTTTCCGCACTTGCGAAGGATCCACACCATAGAAGATTGGAACAACTGTTTGCCCCATCTTCTCCTTGCATCCAAGGATTTTCACCAGTTCATCCAAACACCACTTGGAGGAAGCATAGCGTTTGGAGAACACGATGAGAGCGATACTGGATTCTTCGATTGCTTTCAAGAGTTCGGGTGAAAATTCTTCCCCTGTTCTGAGTTGTTCGTCATCTTTGAATGTGTAGATTCCACTTTGAGACAAACCAGCAAACAGATGGTCTACAAAGTTCTTACGAGTGTCTTCACCTCGGAAGCTCAAGAATACATCGTATTTTGATTTACGGGTAGGTGTAGAAGAGGAAGACGCTCTGTTTGTGCTTGTGGGTGCCATTGTTGGGAACCAAAAAGGCCTATCTGAAGCAGGATTGAATTGTCACACTCTCTGCATCTAATCTCAAGTCCTTCTGGTTCAGAGGAGTTCTTCCTCAAATTCAATTATCTGAAAAACACTCCATACTTGGTCGAGGATGATTTAGATCTTCTAGCCTCAGTCAAGAACATTGAGAGAGTCTCACAATAAGTGGCTGGCTTCTTGAGGTACTACTTTGAACCCTTTTAACAAAATCAATTTTTATCGCTTTCCTTCACTGATTTCAAGCATTAACATACTATATATCAAGCATTGTCATTTTCGAAAGAACATTGAGAGAGTCCCACAATAAGTGGCTGGCTTCTTGAGGTACTACTTTGAACCCTTTTAACAAAATCAATTTTTATCGCTTTCCTTCACTGATTTCAAGCATTAACATACTATATATCAAGCATTGTCATTTTCGAAAGTGGTTGTGTGTAGCAGGTGTGATTTTTTAAAAACTTGAATTTAAATTCAATAAGTTAAAGAAGTTGTGCTGGATTGGTTCTTCAATAAGTGTTTTCCACAGCTTTCACCCTCATGCAATGGTTTTTCAATTTGTACATATCTTAATGTTTCTCTCTCTCTATAAACAAATATACAGGCAGGGGCGGCGACCGCCTAAGGCTCCCAACCAATAGAAACGCTCCATCCCATCTCCATTATTCCACCAATCACACTGCCCTAACATTCGACCAGATCTGTACAAAAGATCACCCGGTAACGAGACCCAATACGGCTTGATGGGTTTTGGATTTGAACGGAGACACACCCATAAACGCAGTGCGCGAGCTCGGCTTGAACAAAAGACCTGGCGGGCGGCAACGAGACCCATTATTGCTTCGACTCAGGCGGCACCTCCTCTTCACCCGCCACTGATTTTTCTCTGTTTCAAACCTCCTCTTTCACGCAATTTCAAGGTTAGTTTCATAAAATAAAAGAAAATTAATAAATATATATATTTTTTCACATCAACTTTGTGGTATGAAAGCCACGTCTGATCAAACGAAATAAAGGGTAAAAAAATACTCTATCAAACATAGAAAATCCTTTTATAAAATCTATAATAAGGTCTACTTATGTTTTCTGATAACTAACAAGTATTAATTTTCAATCAGAAACCAAATTCTTACTTTTTTATAAATATTTTCATATTACTTTTAAATTTCTCAATTTTTTTATTTTAATCTTTTTAATTTTTATTATTATATGGTGGTATTACGCTTCACACAGAGTTGTCTACAATATTTTTAAGACCATCTCCAATGCAAAATGCTATTTTTGCAGGATAAATTTATATTTTGAGGGTAGTTACAGTGTCAAAATGCTATATTTTAACAATTCTGCTTCAATGGTTCATTTCATTCAAAATGCTATTTTTTGACACAACTACCATTATTTTTCAATTACCAATTTCAACAACCATTTTTTTTTTTTTTTTGAGTGTTTGTATTTTATTTAGCTTATTTGCCCTATTAAAAATAAATAAAAATAATAATCATCAAATCTAATTGAGTCTTAAAATTTAGGCAACTTTTGGATTAACAGACATATATATACACACATATATACCATTACTGACATATATATATATATAAGTACAACACCAAACTACATAATCTACAAGAATCAGAAGTTTAAAATCCATATATTTCAGTTTGGCAGAAGCAATAACAATAGCTATAGTTTGTGTTATATTGGGCACTAGATTTGGCAAAGCTATATTTTGGCAGCCTATTTAAGAGCTCATTGAAGATTCCATGTTAAACCCACCTGCTATATTTTGAAATTAGCAACCCTTGGAGTTGCTCTAACGTGTTCAGTTATATCATTGGGTCATGACTGTTGGTAACAATAATGCATATTGTGAAAGAATTCGTCAGAATAAGGGCAGTTGGTTAAAAATAATGAGATGCCTATAATCTGAATAGGTGCGAGTTTTATTCAAACCAACTTTTATTGTAACCCATTGGGATTGTTGTTGTATATGTTGACGAAGAGACACCAACCAACCATTGCAACCCATTGAGAGTGGTTGTGTATGTTGACGAAATGACACCACGCTGTTTATAAATACCCCCTTCCAACACCAAAACTTAGAAATCTTCTTTCTAGTTCTGAGTTTTCCTCTCTTCCTTTCTTTTCCCTTCTTTGCATATACATAGTTCTAGTGTGTGGGTTTGAGTTTAGTCTATAATAGAGAGTACTAAATCGAGCCAGTTCGCCCATTTCTCTGGTGGTTTGTAGTGCTGCTACAAAAGAAAAAAATGTTATTGTATCCTGGGAGACGGACGTTATAGAGTCCGTCAGCACCATAGTAGAGCGAATCTGTCTTAAGGACATAAAATCAAATTCTATAACTGTAATGACTCTGTCATTTTCATTCCTTTCCTTTTTCTAAAATTTTATGGATAAATTTTTTTTCTTTGAATTTTTTTTTCTGAGTTTGGTTACTCATCACTTGGTGTTATCTCGAGTGCTCGGAAATAGTTTCCGAGACTTTTTCCTTTGAATTGACAACTTCTTTTAAGGATCGAGTCATTTTCCCATTTTTATTTTTTGGACACTATTCACTTTTCGTCTTTTTCCCATTTGTCACTTTGTTTGCACAACCAGTGATACCCCGCGGATCTGAGACACGGGTTGATCAGGCTTAGGCCCAAATGTGAAGTCTGTGTACATAATTGTGTGTGTGTGGTGTGTGATTTAAATGAAAAAGAAAAAGAGTAAAGAAATATAAAATAAAGTGGGACCCACATCACTTTTTAAGTGATTTGTGAGACCAAAATTGGTCTCTGCTGCTCTCTCTCTCTCTCCCGACTGCTCTCGGCTTCTCCTTTTTTCTTTTTTCTTTTCTTTTCACTTCAACTTCCATTGTTGATTGCTCCTTCATCTTTTGTCGGATTGAGGTGCCGTTTGAGGCAAAACGAAGCTTGTAGCGAGCTCTACGCATCCATACTATCAATTTTCAGTTTTGAGTCTTCCTTGGAGCTCGAATTTGGAGGACCTATTCTAGGGATTTCGGCTTGGATTGTGAGGTAGGGACATCTTAAGCCATGGAATCTTGCTCTATAATGAATCATGCTCCTCTATGTGTGTTATAGCATGTTTAATTGTTGTTGATTTTGATTAAAATGATTTAATTGACAACATGCTAGTTATGTAAATGTGTATAACATGGTTGAATGAAAAGTATGTCTATGTGATGGTTGTTTACATTTTTTTTTGAGGTTACTAACATGCTATAATGATGCCATGAGAACATGCTTATTTATTATTGTGCTAAGTTCCCATTTGTCATTATATTGAGATCATGACATGAGCCTACATCCCATTGGGTTGCATGAAAAAGGGAAGTGGTTGTCTTGAAATGAAAATGGGGATTTGGGAATGAATGTTTTGGAAAAAAATTGGTTTTGACAAACCCGGTCGCTGCGGGGTTACCAACGGGCCGGAGGTTAATGTAGCCTAGGGAGGACTAGGGAGAGTACTCTAGCGTGGTTAAGCTATTTGGGCCCCTCGACGGCGCCACGGGGTCACCAAGGGCCTAGGGACGGTAGCCAATCCTCCTCTCATCGCGGCGGGGTTACCAAAGGGGGTTACATTAACTTTGAACGTGATGGTTTTGAGAATGAAAACGGGGAGTGACTTTAGCATGCATTGCATCTCACTCCATTTGCATTTGTGTGTGATTGAATTTGACTTAGACTTGTAATTATTTTTCCCCTTCAATGCATGTCCCCAATCTCCCATTGGCCTATGCTTTATTTGGATTCACTAGGACACAAGAATTGTGTCTTAAGTGTCACCTGCTGAGCTATATGCTCACCCCTATATCTATATATATTTTTTTCAGGTCTTGGAAAGGAACTGGTGGATGACAACCCACCTCAAGCTTGAACGGCGTTAGAAGTCCACTTTTGTATCTTTGTATATTCCCCATTATTTTGTAAAACACTAGAAGTGCAAAGATGTATAATTATTTTGTGGAACTTTGTCATGTAATATAACTAAAGTATTGATGATGTTTTGGATGGGGATTTGATAGTATGCAACTTGTTGATGAATGGATGGATAATCCTAGTTTGAAGCATTGTCTAGATTAGTTGGTTGTATCATTATCTTTTGTTGCCGAGAATTCAGAATTTTAGCCATGACAGGTTAAAAATGCAATTAAACAGGTTGTGATAGGCCTATTTTTAGGGGAGGTCATGCCGAATTTTTTTTGTTTAAAAAGTATTAGTTTTGAGTCATTACACCAAACCTGAGGGAAATATCAAACAATTAATATGTAATGCGAACACAGAATACAAGATGAAATAATAAGAAGTAAATAAAAATGGCTGAAAAGAATTTTAATTAAAATCCTCAAAATAATGTTATAAAAATCCAAACTCCATATAGTTTAACAACTCGGTAATCTATCCAGTGGACCTCTAACAAGAAAATCCCAACTGAAAAATAAAACCAGAAGAAATCCATAATTATATCATGGAGAGAGATCCTACGTCATCGGAAGAATGAGTGACCGCCTCTGCTCAGCACGAACAAGCTCAAGTCTAGAACTGACGTGCACCTAAAAAATAGGAGTGGGTCAGGCCCACGAACAAGTTTTATCCTACTAGAATCCAAGTAGAGACTCGATACGCATATACACTCTAATCAACTCAATAATAACTATATAATCCGTGTATATATATATATATATCCACACTATGAACTCTCATTGGACTATGATGCGGGTCTTAACCTGAGTAGAAGGCAACATGCAAAATGCACCTTAGTGGGCATGACTACCTAAGCCTAACAGGGTATACCTCAACCAACATAGCCAGCTATGCATCCTTCTGCATATACGCTCCCTAACCATCGACTCTGAGACTCAAGCTCATATCGCGGTACCATAAAAAATATATTTAAAGTCCTATCCTATCCATCCATAAGAAATCCAGTTGTCTATTCAGCTTGTGCAGCTTCTTTGACTCAACATAGATAACAAGTAATCCAGCTAGTCATTCAGCTTGTGCAGCTTCTTTAACTTAGCATAAATATAAGTAGGATTTATTTATAATCCATTCCCTTATTCCAATACAGGTTAGATTTAGTATTTTGAAACTAAACCATTCCTGGTATGTCACCGTCCCATACCGGTGCATACAATCCATCCGTCCAGAAGTTGATAATACAGATCAAGAATGTAAAAACCAACTAATTCATAATAAGCAGAGTCAAAATATTTAATTGAACATACTTACTTTACACCACTACACAATTATCCAAGCATTGCTAATACATTTAACATATGTATAAGTAAATTTATCCATTATAAGCATATAATCATTCTGTAATCTAACATGCTTATATTATACCATGGAAACATGATTAAACAATAATTCCATTCACAGATAGATTGTTACACATAAAGTTATGCAATTTAAATCTTCCACCTCCAAGAACAGTCTCCATATTTACTTAAAATTATATACTGTTCAACCTACTGATTTCATGTGACTCTTAATAATACCAAAATAATAAAATTTCGATTCACAGAGATTGATTAAACCAAGGTTCAGAAATTTAAATCCTCCACCACTGAAGTAGCAACAGTTTTATTAAAAACTTAACTACTGTTCCAGCTATCAACGTCTACTGGTTTATTATGCATTAACCAACTCTCTGAAGTTTTAACAAGGCTTAGACCACCTCTAAACATCCCAATATAGCTTTCTCCAGAATCTGAAAATCCCAAAATCCAAGTCCCGTAGCCTATACAGTCGCAGAAAAACAAAAAAAAACTGAAAACCAAACGAAAGAGCTTGCTCTCTCAAAAAGAGCCCACTCTGTCTTGCTTGGAGCCGGCTCTCCTAAGCTTAGAGCCTGCTCTTTTCTCCCAAGAGT